TTTGATAAAGTTGGGTCGATAATCATTGGCTTTAAATACTTTGTACAGGTGGGATTCTTCTGATGTTGCTTCAGTGCTGGAATATGTTTTGGCACTTTAAAATAGTGTTTGTTATGGGCTGTGGGGTGATTGCTGTTGTAGTTCAAAATTTTATCGGTGTGTGTCTGTGCGATTTTTCTATACACTTGAGTTTGCAACATCCTGTAATGTGTTCTCCTGATGAGGACGTCTAAGAACGTAATTTTGCTGCTGGTTTCCGCCTTCTTTGTGAAGTGGATTGCTTCAGATCTTTGGTTGATTAGTTCGATGAACGTGTTTTCTATTTGATTCTCCTCTACCTCATATCAGGACGTCAATTGAGAATGTACCATATCATTCCCTAGACAGCGCTCACCAAAGGTCAAAGACTTCGTTTAGTGATACCACGTTATAATCTGGCAGCCTGTAATCTTCCGAACTTACTTTAGACAAAATTGCGCAACGGAGCGGACGGTGACTATGGAGGTTCACAACCTCACCAATGAAATTTCCTCTCCTCCTTAAAACTCCACACCATACTTGTACGTCTCTGACGTGGTGACACACGGTCCACGCTACGAAGGCAATGATGGTCGAACATCAGAAACCCTCCTCGTATCACCCACCAACTACCATGTTTCACAGACATGTAGCAGAAAAGAGAGAACTGTAGTGCGGTAGGCTTAAACCTTAATAGGCAATCGTATGGCACCATGGTGGCACCATAAATCTTGTAAGTCGTTAATCCATCCGGGTTGATCCAACTTCGCAGGCAAGTGGGGCGATCAACGCACTCAACCGTTTCATTCCCTACTATCAAACAAGGCGCAGGAACTATAATGATGCTGACGACGAAGAATAAATTGTGCTTAAAACGTCATCCAGTAAATAACACTGTGCTAAATCAAATAAGTTAATGTAGCATATGAGGTAGCCACAAAATATACGTTCTACTTCAACGTCCCTATCGCTTCAATCAACGAGAAACAGGCCATAATCCTGAAATGCATTCAACTAACACATGCACACTTCTATTGTGCGACAGGTAATGGTACTTCCTCCTGGAATGGTGAAACCTTGTTATTTGAAGCGGTGTTCAAGGCCATGACTGGACTTGTTGGAAATCCACTGCTTTGTTCAATGCTGAACACCATTGCTATATCGACGTCAGGTAAGTACCATCAGTCGCATTATTCTATCCATTTTAAAAGTCATGGCCTTGTTGGTAGCATCATTGTGTAGTTCGGTTCAACAGCTTTCGATTGATTCCTCACCTATCTCTGTACGACTTATAGTTGGGAAACAATTGCAGCAGTTGAGTAACATCAAGCAATCCAGCAAATTGTGCATTCGCCCATTTATTTTGTCCTTGAAATTAATTAGTCCTTTCATCTTTATAAATTATGGTGCGTTGTGGTCAGGCAATTTGGTTGTATTGCACATAAAGATGAATCAGATTGCCAATGATCAATAAGTGTAGATGAGAGGGCTGAATTACATGACTGACTCATCGTGTGGGTGTAACGGCTTGAGTCTGAATGCAAGACTGGGTAAGTAGTTTCTAGACCAATCACACACAAGGTCAGCGTTAGGACTGAATAATCGATGGAATCACGTGACTTTATGACGAAGGTTATCACAAATTGTCCGACACGTTTAACACATTAACCACTCAAAGAAAAAACGGAAGATTATTATTTTATTAACCTCGCCTGGTTAACTAGTTCACTAGTTACTAGCTGGTCCTAAGCCCGGGTAAAGAGGGAAGGTTGGGCATAGGCATAGCAACCCTACCCCGGAAAACAAATCTAACCGCTAAACAAACTTCAAAGCACAAACAAAATAGAAAACATAAAAACAAAATTATTCCTCGCTGGAATCGGAGAGGCGAAATGACGTCAGTTGGTGAAAGCCTTCGGGAAGCCAATTGGCCCATGTGTCTTCTCTCGATGAAAGCAAAAGTAAACGTGGGGACATTGAATGTTTGCACGATGTTTGAAGCTGGCTGGCAAGGCAGCCCAGATTGCAAAGGAGATGAAGAGGTATCACATTGAAGTGTTAGGAATTTGCGAAAGCTAATGGAATGAGAGTGGAGTCTCCAAACTGTCAACTGGAGAGGAGAGTCAATAATCTACTCCGATATTGTCACCCAGACGACAACCACGAGCAAACTGAGTTATGGAGTGACTATCATGATATCGCCTTGAAAAGCATCGAAGGCTCTCTCATGAAGTGGGAACCAATCTCCTCCAGGATCATGACAGCAAGATTCAACTCAAAAGGAAGGAAGGTCATAATCATACAATGCTATGAACCTACAAATAATGCAGAGCAAGAGAAAAAGAAGGAATTATACAGACAACTTCAATCAACACTGGACAAGACCCCACCTCAGTTGGCGATATGAAAATTCTAATGGGTGGCATGAATGCCGAACTGGGAGCAGACAACACAGGAAGAGAACTAACCATGGGTCGAGAAGCGCTCGGTGAGGTGATGAACGAGAATGGAGAATTGTTTGCAGAATTCTGTGCATTCAACAATTTGGTGATTGCAGTGAGGCAGTGTGTTCAAGCACAAGGATATCCACAAAGCGACATGGATTCAATTTCACCAGACACCAGGACACACTACACTAACAATCAAATCGACTTCATCTCAATCTCAAGAAAATGGAGACACAGTCTACTTGACACAAGGTGAAGAAGAGGAGCAGATGTACGTTCAGACCACTCACTGTCTAGTGCAAGGAACCTTCCAAATAAAGTTAAAAACCTTCAAGGGAACTGGTGATAGACCGCAGTTCAAGTACAACACTCGGAAACTGAAGGGTGAAACTGCAAAGGAAATCTTCACGGCAGCCAGCCATCAAGACAAAATGGGAGATATCGAGGAACATCCCTGAAGAAACCTGTGTGGAAGAACACTGGAAGTCTTTGAAAGGGATATGTAAAGAAACCTGCACAACCGTATTAGGAAGGAAGAAGAAAGAAGATAATGAGTGGCATGGATCTCAATGGATACATGGAAGCTGACAGAGCAGGGAGAGGAGGATGGTGAAACAGAAGATAAGCCAGTGCAGTGCAAGGATGCTCAACGACAAGAGGAACTGAGTACAATGTATAAAACACTACACTGGACAAAGAAGTGAAGAAGAGTGGACGGAAAGACAAAAGACACTTCTACGACACATTGGCAAGTGAAGCAGAACAGGCTGCAGGTAGGAGAGACAGAGACCTGACAACATTGTATCAAATAACCAGGTTACTTGCTGTCTGGGAAGAGATCAACGCAGATGAAACCAATAAAAGATGATGAAGAAATTTAATTACAAGAGAAGAGAAACAAAGGAAACAATGTGCCGACCACTTCAAGAAGCTCTTGAATCGACCACCATCACCACCACCCACACTTCGTCCAGAAATACCACCAGCAACCCAGCCGCTGAATTACAAGTGAACATAAATCCTCCAAAGGAAGTCGAAGTCCTGAACGCCATAAAGCTACTGAAATATGGGAAAGCAGCAGGACCAGATGGAATCCCACCAGAAGCACTGAGAACAGATGCAGAGACAACAGCGGACATGCTCACACCACTATTGCAAAAGGTGTGGAAGGAAGAGAAGGTACCTGCCTGTCGATTGGAAGAAGGGTTACCTTGTCAAACTGCGGAAGAGAGGAGACCTCAGTGTTTGCAAGAACTGGCGTGGAATCACTCTCCTGTACACCCAGAGCAAGCAAAATATTAAGCCGCATCATCCTGGGGAGGCTAAAGGATGCACTGGATTCAAAACTACGATCAGAACAGGCTGGCTGCCTTCAGGAAGTACAAATCATGTGCCAACCAAATTGCAACGCTACACTACGCATCATCATAGAACAGTATAGAATGGCAGTCAACTCTACACCTCAACTTCATCGACTTTGAGAAGGCCTTTGACAGCGTCGACCGAGAAGTAATCTGGCAACTGCTCCAACACTACGGAATACCGCAAACCTTTATCAACCTCATTCAACAACTATATGAAGATGCCACATGCCAGTCAAGTAATTCACAATGGGAAACTCAGTGATGCTTTTGAAGTGAAGACAGGAGTGAAACAAGGTTGCCTACTATCCCCCATGATATTCCTGATTGTGGTGGACTGGATTATGCAACAAACAGTGAGGAGCGAGAAGAGGGGGATACGCTGGACTGCGGAAAAGATCCTAGAAGATCTGGATTTCGCCGATGACTTGTGTCTAGTGTCACACAAACTTGAAGATCTACAGGCGAAAACTAACAAGTTGGCAGAAGAGGCGAGGCAGGCAGCGAAGACGGGACTTCAGGTGAATATAGAGAAGACAGAAGTGATGAAGATACCGCACCACCACCAACAAACTCTAATCACCATGAACGGGAGAAACGGGAGGGAAAAGGGAAGAAATTATCTTTATTTATCATTTCTCTTGTACAAATTACAATTTATGTCTATCATTCACAATTGCGAATTCTTCAGATCTTGAAAACAATAAATAATAATTTAAGAAACTATACAAAGGCGGGGATGGTATGGGTAAGAAGGCAGGAAATCAACTTCTCCGCTTTTCTTTTCAACTCATAATAGATCAATAATTACTGGTGCGGAACAAAGGCGATTACAGTGGAATAATGTGAGTGAAATTTACTCACTCATTCAGGATAAATTCACACACACAGATGAGCATTTGCGCGGGCGAGTGGGTTTAAATGAATACCATCCATAGAGTTTATACATCATCAGCATTATATCTGTCCAAACAAGCAGATATATAGATAGATATGTATATAAGCAGTATACGCAAAAAGCAAAGCAATTTTCCTAGTAAAAATCATAAAATTATTGAGTAATGGTTGTTCTCATAAAAATCATTACTTTTTTTAAAAGAAAAAAGAGGAAGCGAGCAAGGAGAAAACAAAGCAAACGAGAAAAAATGCACCATTGCATTTTGCAAATTCTCTTCTATTCAGGATATAAATGTCGGTTACTTTCATGGACAATAGCGTGAATTTGTCTAGCAAACTCTGCTTCGTCAATATCATCAGTTGCTGTTGCTGCTGACCAAGTATGATTATTATTACAATTATTGTCCGATGCCTTTATCAGCACCCGGTTCATATTGGCTAGATCAGTGGTAGGCGAAGACTGCAAAGTTGACGATGGTAACATGCCTGGTGTCGATGGACTACGTGAGATTCGGTTGACTTCACTAGATGTGGATAATTTTTTTGCCACCGGCGGGGTGGCGGTGAGGATGTGGTGGTATTATTCCCATTCGCTTTATAATTCCAACTGGTTGTCACTCTGTTTCGTGGTAGAGTCGACTGAAGGTGAACAGCAGTAACAGTATCAGACACCATTGTTCCGTGATAGTCATAGAGATTTGTGACAATAGCCGACGCTCCCATGCGCGGTCGATTGTTATACGACCTGTAAACATAGGAAAATTGAAGAGAAAAGGGTCAAATGTTGAAAAAACTGACTGATCACTGGAGAGCAACCAATTTCAGTCCTTAGTGCCGGTTACGTTCGATCAAGCATCCGTTGTGTAATATGGCCAGCAAGCTAGGAGGCTCAGCATAGTGGTGGATGTTAGTTCTGATAGAGGCAATCGGTAGGAAGCCCTACTTCGTCTAGGTTTCATGTTTACTGGCAGTTGTCCTCACCCCACTCCCCAAGGATTAGAACCCAAGTGTCTTCCTGTTTCCCAGTCAAACAGGGACATCAGTTTTCTCCGGAGGTTGCTCATACGCCTTCCTGGCTGACAAGTACCAACAAGTACACAACTTGTGTGGAGCAGTAAACTTGAATGTTTGCAAATCTTTCCTTCTAGGGAGAAGCGATGCTGCTATTATTCACAAAACCAATGAGATAGGTGGTAGTCTGTGGGGTTCGCATCAAGCCGAGTGAAAAGACAGATACTCGCTGATGATGTTTGGTAATGAATGTACTATATTATGAAATGACAAGATTGGAAAAATATGAACCAATCCATTCCGAACCAGTGCCTAAATAGTAGCGTGGTCTTTGCCAGACCTGATGGTAGTTGGTTCGATTCCCGGCGAGATTATGGGTACGGGCAGGATGAAACAACTACCCAGTGCTCTTCAGCTAATATCAGTCTTTCAGGAATTTCACCTTAAATTTGATTATTCAATCCAACTAATTCCTGCAAACCTCTAAACTGTTTTACACTCTAATGGTCAGAAAATTTTAATGTCAGGCTATCGGCCAGTGGGCACATACTCATATGTGAATTTTTCAAATCCTATCCCTCTCAGAGTTTCGGACAGATGCTACTAAACAGCCTTAAACTACAAAGAAACAGATGTCCCATACACTGTCAGCTCTTCAATGGGATAATGTACTAGACACGAGACTCACTGACTGATAAGTTGATTACATGTCACAGTTCGTAGGTGTATCAGTTGATTTTCTCTGAATACATTTTGCTTGAATCGAAGAAGTATTTCGCTTCACTAGCAACTTACTCGTCAGCTAGATGCACATACACCATCCAGTGAATGAGGATTGATGATGTCCCCAGTATACATCTCTTTAAGTGACAAAGCGTTGTCCACTGGGGGTTTACAGGAATGTCCGGCTGATGAATAAATCTCAAACAGGATGAAACGCTTATATCCTGGATTCCACTGTTAGCTACTAAATAGACTACAGTGGAATGAATATCCAGACACATAGAAGCTCATCTGCTAACAGAGGTTGAGCGGTACGATACAAGTTTCAATAAAAGTCAATCAGTCACCCGACACCCCTATCAACATAAATGTAACATTTTCTTGTTGATTACACTACTTAAATTAGTACAGGGATGTTAATTTAAAGGCTAGATGAGTAGAGTCAAAAGAATAGTTGAATTATAGAAGAACTAGAGCTAATGAGTGGTCTCTGGATCTCTCCAATCTGAAGCTTTACCAAGACGCTATTAATAAATGAGGGGAACAGAAAGACTAGTATTCAAGCTTTAGAAGACATCGAAGAGTAAATGTATCTTCACCATTGTGATCGTTATTCAGCCATGTCACCAAGCGTCTTCAACCATTGGTTCCTATGGTCTGAAGGATCCCAAACCGACAGCTTAAACCAGCAGTGAAAGACTTTGTGAATTGGTGTCACATCTTAGCCTGGCCACTCCGAAGCCCCATCCAACCTAACCCAGCTCCCCCTAGCGTAGCACATCGAGGTAGGCGGTGCCTCAGCATACGCCTTCGTTCCATAATGCCCTTCACGTAACCTCATCCTTGCTTATAAAATGACCCCAGCATAGATGAGTAATGCTAGAATGATAACAAAAACGAAAAGCGATAAACATTTGCTTACCTCTGTGATTTCATAGATGATCCAGTCGTTCCATACAACTCAAAACTTCGTCCAATAGTACTGTTACCGCCATGACGACCACCGTCCATACCATTCCCAGTCGGTACTTGCAGGTGGGTATCAATAGGGTGGCGTGGATTATTTTTACGATCATCATCATCCTCATCGATGCCACCAGCATCTTCATCATCATCATCATCATCGCCAACCTCATAATCATAAATACCACCTTCAGAGTAGGTTTGTCTACTAAGTGTGTTGCTTAAATTCATCACTGGTATCACAGATATTGATCTAGGCTCATTTTTATCCAGACTAAAGTGTTGGTTATTAGTTAATTGTAATTCGATGTGTACTCTGGATCTGTGGACAGAGTGTTTTCATAGCCTATGACGGCGGCGGCACCAACTCCACTCTTGGTGTTGGTTGCATTCAACAGATGCGACTGCTTGATCAACTCACTTCGCCATGATCTCAACAGATGGATACGTTCAGCTTCATTGGCCAGTAGACGTGCTTGAGCTTCAGCTAGACGTGCTTGTGAAGCATCTAATTCACTGCGAAAATCTTCGCCTGGAATTGGTGTATTCGTCTTTGTATTGTTGTCATTTATTGTAGAAAATTACAAAAGGTAGAAAAGAAGGATTACCTGACTCAGATGATTATTATTATTATTATTATTATTATTATTATTATTATTATTATTATTATTATTATTATTATACGGGTGGTAGTGTCCATGAATTGACATCAGTTGTAGAACCGTTGAATGCCTGGGAGCAGTGGATAGGTGTCCAGTCCTTGTAGTATGCGGTCCCTTGCGGGAAGCGCCGGAGATTGAACCCAAGACCTTCAGGCCCCCAGCCCAGAACATTACAATTCAGCCACTTGGTCGGAATCCAATTTTCCACATTTTCCTACTTCTATCGTACAGTTTCCATTCACGCTGGTTGTCGAATTCAGCTGAAGACTATCTTAGCAAACTGCTGAAATAACCAGTGAGGTTTCTTCATTTGAATTTCGAGAGGGTTTTGAGGATCTAGAAATATTTCAAGTTGGTGTTCATCATAGACTGACATCAGCTGGAGGAACAATGCTCCCAGGTTTCCATTGTTCCTCCAACTGATGTCAGTCTGCGATGAATACTAACTTGAAATGTTTCTTTATTTAATGAATAAAAAGCGGCCTAAATGATGATTTCCTCCGTTACTAGAGTGACGTTTAAAGTCACTCCTCTGAAGCAGCGAGCAGGATGACAAGTTCAATCTGGCTGATTCTAAGCTCTCTCAGCGCCAACCAATGAAATAAGAGAGAATAATCAGAAAAACGTGACCAATCAGCGTAAAGCAGACGCCATGCATAAAAATATGACTTACTTATAAGTAGTATAATAAATAACACTAAATAAATACTAGTGAAATCTCACAAATCACCCGATTTGATACGATAGCTACAGGCAAGTGTGTCATTGAAATACAACACAGGATCGATGTACTCCAAGTTCCTAAAGTACTCACTATATGTGTATTTAAAGACCTTTCTGTTTATGTTTAGGATTTAGGGAAAGTTTCAACCATTGAATTCTAACTCAGTTTATAGATAAGTATTAACTGTTGAAATTCAAGGTCATATGTTAGAGAATCTGAATTCACAAAATATGCACACATTAATAGAATAAGTAGAGACTGAGTCACACCTATTGCGTGCAAGCTTATTATACTACACAGCTATCAAACTAGGGTGGGTGCAAAAACGATTCGAACCCCTCACGTATCGGTTGGGAAGCCGGTCGCACGTACCAGTCAGCCACAATTCATTATGATTTGAAGCACATACATTCGTTGATACTCACAACCTTCCGTTTGTATAATGGATTGAGTCGCTCAACCTCTGTCGGCAGATGAACCGCCGACACAGATGGGTGCTTCAATGCTACCCGGATATTCATTGTAACAGTTTACTTGATAGCCAGCATTAGAATCCATGACACAGGCATTTCATTTATTTGGGGCCCGTTAGTCAGCTGATGTACATCTACCCCCATTGTGATCCTCTGCCTCAGTAGCCAAGTGGGTGACGAACGCCTTATTGTCCTAAATGACGAGTAGTGGGTTCGAGCCCCTGTGGAAACAACATTACCCACTGGTGTGCAGGTACATCCGCTGACTAGGGAGTCCCAAATAAGCCAATATAAACAGACTGCAATCCAATCCAGTTTGTTTGTTTGTATGAGTCACACAGGATTAGTTACCGAGTCTATGAATTAGAAAATGGTGAAGGGGAGTTAGTGGTGTTGGTTGGATTTTACAACAAACGAGAATCAAGAAGGCAGGAGTTTAGATACTAGTATCTATGTACAAAACCGTCACACTTGAATCGGCTCTTAGACCTCAAATCATCCCACCCACCCTATGTCACTTAAAGTTGACCCAGCGAAATGTCTAAGTAACGGCCAGAAAACTTATCACCAGTAAACCAGGACATCTGAGATGGGAAATCGGACACATTAAAGGCACCTTACTCACCAATAATTACTCACTTAAATTAACCAGTAAATTCAAGAGAAATCGTAGGGAAAATTGAGCTGTAGGGGTGATACAGGTGTTAATAATAATAATAATAATAATAATAATAATAATAATAATAATAATAATAATAATAATAATAATTAGGACACTGTGAAGGCAGAATTCGAAACCTCTACAGTATTAACATACAACAAGGAAGCCATCTCAGAGAAATTATGTAGTTGGTTTCTCCATATGGCTATGATTACAGAGGTATTCAAATCTATAAACTCACTTTGAAACAAGGTTTGTTGATTGAAGGATCCTATTGATCCATTTGTGCGAAATAATTTAGTCCGCCAATCCCCTTACAATGACTGTGAGGTGAAAGTAGTTGACGCAGGTGAATTAGGGTGTCCGAAGACAAAATATTTACCTAAATCAAGATAATTAGATCCTAATGGGATAAAAAAATTTAGAGAAAAGCTCAGCTACAGCTATGCACGTGATCACAGGCAATGCAGATAGGAAAGAGTGACGGTTCTTAAAACTAACCTGGAGGGGGAGGGGTGGAGGAGAAGATTGATAACAGAATCTCTATCTATTAAATCAACATCAGTTACATGCGACAGAAATAATTCTGAGCCTGTTCCTTATCACAAAGAAGGAGGAGAGAAAACTAAAACCATTTGTCAAAGTGTCTAGTTATCTTGATGTCACTATGGACAATAAATTATGTCCGAAACGTAATCCAGTAAACAATACTGTTACACTGTATGGTACATCTAATAAATAGACTAAAACGAAATTACCATCTATAACAGTACGCCATATACCACTCAAAAAGAGATTCTTCAATCCTCATAAGCTACAGCATTTTATTGGAACTGAGGCCTCAGTACCGCCAGTGCATAAGACCCTGGTGCTTGATGTGGTCGATAGGAGTAAGTGCCTCCAAATGACAAGCAAGTACCAAGTAGGATGAAACACGCCGTAAAATCTTCTGATAGGCACATCATCAAGCAAGTCATGAGACTTATCACAGATGTTTTTATAGAAGTCATCACAGAGTCCACAGAGAGAGAACAGTAACATGTACTTCACTCATCCCCTGTGCCACTAGATCACCCATAGCATTAGGTTGCATTTGATCAATAAATCGCATGTCGTTTGCCACACAGAATTGTGGCTCTTTAGTCTAACCACTCCATTCCGACCAGCTAGGTGCTGGATTCGAACCCCACTTCTTGCACGACTGTTTCTCCTTAAACAAGTTAACAGTTACATGAATTGACTAGTCTAAGTCCAAAAAACCCTTGAAAAATCAAATATAAATTGACTGCCTAATCAAGCTCTTAAAGTTAACCAATCAGTGTAAAAGAGCGCTCCTCCAATAGGAACCAATCAGGCAGCACCAGCTATGATCAACCAGTCAGCCTGAAATACTCCGATTCCATGCAGAAAAGTCTGCCAATCAAATCCGGACCATCCTCCTCACTTTAGTCAAATTAAAAAAGTAAAAACCAATCGGATAGCAGCTGCCAACTAATCAATATTATTTCATTAAAATTAATAAAAAGGTAATGAGCCAATGGTGTGGTTCTATACACTTCTCTGAGAAAGCTGAGGGTGAAATGTCAAATAGTCAAATTTCACGCATCCACAAATGTTGGCCGATCGAACCTGTCCCGTTGGTCAGAGAACAAGACGATTTGAACATTCACAACAGTTAAACGTAGTAATAAATATAGAGTCACGCACAGTTAAAGCGTGTCTACAGCTGAGGCATAATAGTACTGACAACAATGGTAATAACAGACTTCCATTGTAAACCGACTTCAAGGTTACCGATCGATAGATAAAATGACACGCAATTCTTACTTACCTCTGGTAGAAACAATGCAGTCCTTTTACTGGGTGGTGCACCAACAGTATGTGGAATGTCTATTGGAATGAATTGCATTCGTTGCATTTCTGTCTCCAGTGTCGAAGAACTACGATATAGCTCTTGTTGCCCAGACAACAGGCTAAATTGATCAGTGTAGTGCACATTAGACGCACCATTGTGTCTGCCGCCAGCATCATTGTTTATCCGTCCAATGGACATATATACAGGTGGTGCCCAATTTCTCCTATCCAACTCCACATTATTGACAGCAGTACTCTGGCCGGTTTGATAATAAGGATGACTGTCTTTCAATGTGCCAGTCAGAATATTCATCGTCTCAGGCGCAGTTGACAGATTCACATATGTATGTCGTCGAACTGACTGTTCCTGTGGGGTATTTTTCGGTTGAGAACTGCTGCCTACTGAAGTATTTGATAGTAGTATAATTTTGTCAGCAAAATATTCCGCAGGATTGTTGGGATTGGTGACGGGATTAATTTGTTGCATGAGTGTTGGTGAATCGTGACAAGTGTATAGAGGATTGTTCATCTGGGGAAATGAGCTCCCATCTACAGTTGCATTGCAGAGAATGTTTCCATGGTAAGCAGACTGTTCAGTCTGCAGCTGGGGATTCGTTTCGCTGGATACCTCTGTTGTTGGCCTATTGCGAAGCGCGAATTGATCAATTCTTACTGAATTGTCCATTGAGGTGTGGGCATGTGTTCTACTCATTGTACCCTGTGGTTCACGATATATAACAATTGTTTCATGTCTCCGTTTAGGACCATCGATCTTTGAATTCGACTCAGGGTGATGGTGAAGGGTGTCTTTGATTTCTACAGATCTTTTAGAATTGGGTGATTTTTTTCCGGATACTGAGGACAAGTAGTAACTGAATTACAGGGAAAGTTGCTCCGTACTTGAATAAAGTTGTTATTATTGTTACTATGCGGGATTTAATGATTTCTATAGAATCACACCTTAATACACGTTCTTGCATACCTGAAGTGCTTTGATGGCCTCTGGATACAACGAGTTCAATATTTGAATCAGTCTAAAAATCAATAGAATTAATAAGAAAGGAAATTTAAAAATGAAGTCCATTCTAGATATTCAAGCTTTAGAAGACGATAAAGAGTGCCATTTTGAACGATTTTCAGCCATGTGATTTCACCGAAAGTCCTAAACTACTGATTCGTCTTATGACTCAGTGATCTAAGCCAGGTAGACCGCACCTCAGACGAACAATCAGGAACTCCATCGAATGGTGCAAATTCTCGGTCTGGCCACCACGAACCTTCTTCAAGATTAATCCAAACCTTCGGCAGTGGTGCTTTCTGTTAACTGTTTTATGACACTAATACTCTAGCGCGAACTTCTTGTCTGCAAAATTCATCCTTCATGGGGGATGTAGATGCATTAATAACCCCTGACGACTAGTCACTAGTGCGGGACAACCGAAAGTATCTTCAACGAAATTCTCCAGGAACCTATCTACCACCTTCATCAACTTTTCAATAATTCAAAGCTTCCTAGAAAATCACACGGTCACCTCAAGGCCACTCACGAGTCGCTCAAGGATGGCGAAATTCCATTTTTCCCGAAAACATAACCACATCGGTAATGCCTGAGTTAGGGAAATATCAACAATGGATCCACTAATACACTCTAACTTTTCAAAGTGCAATACATCTGGGCTGGAGTTTCAGTGGGAGCAAAACCGCTCAGCACTAGGGTGCAGGTACATCCGGCTGACGAGTCCCGGGTTCGACGGAACACTTCCGTCCTGGATTCCACTGCTAGTCACTAACATGAAAGAACCCGAGCAACTAAACATGGCTCAATGATGAGGGGAAATACAACGTATGGATGAGGTATCTGCGTCACTGAGCTCGATTCCTAGGACGTATCATCCACTGCAGTCTCATAAACCTCATACTTCGGTTGTCATATGAGTCTTGAAACGGCAACCTTACATTTCCTCAACACATCAGATAATTAGAAGCTCCACTATGGAGGTTCTTTGGGATTTATTTATTGATTTCAATTTGGTATTCATCACGTACTAACTGGCTGACGTTAGTCTGGAGAACCGTTGAAAACCTGGGAAAACCGGACAGCTGTTTTGTCCTACTGGTAAGGGACTCATCAGCCATATGCACTCATGCTCCCGCCAGGGATCGAACGCAGGTATTTGCATTTCCCCATGAACAAGAGAGTTGCATTTTAACCGATGTTTCGCTAGTCAACGCAAACAGCTTTATCAAAGTTATAGTAAACAGGAAATTCCTACTATCCAAGCTTTTATACACCCGATTCTTTTCTACGTTGTCCAATTGTTGAGAACACTGATGACCGTTTGTAGTGTGTGAAGTACAGATTGAGATTTGTATGTACACATGGAGCGATATCGTTTGGGTACTGGTTATGTCAACATATAAGGGTGGGAGCTGGTTGAGACCATGCAGTAGTCTGCTTGGCGATCAGCAGTGGAATCCAGGACACGCGTTTTGTCCAGTCTTGGAGCCTTCTCATCAGCTGGATCCATCTGAGGCACCACCCACTGAGTGAGGAGTGATGTTGCTCCCACTGGGAATCGAACCCTGTACCAGACACTCCACACCACCAGGTGTTCGTTACCGACTAGGCCACGGAAGCAAGGAAGCAGCTGCATATATTACCGGGTGATAATTCATTTGTTCGCATACTTCAATCCCTTCAACTCCTTCATTTTAATCTGTTGACGGGGTGTTTGCACTGGCTAAAAGACATCATGGCAACAAAAACCTTCGCATCGATGGGACATGATGAGTTGAAATCCGAATATTTACTCGAGTATTTTGGCTTTCTGAAAGTGAGATCACACTTTCCGTTCAATAAGATAATCAAGCCAAGGGAGTTCCCCGTTATCTGTTTCTTTTTCTAAGCCAAACATGATTCTAGGAGGATCTAGAAATCAGTTGAGCTGGTCACATCAGGTGCGTGTGACATTTTAAACCACCTCACGTATGTTACCAAATTTTTGGCTGTAGTCATGTCCCCGTGAAGGAAATGGACAAAACTACTTAGCTGTGAGGAACTTGTCAATGACTACCGTGCACAACTTATAAATCATCATTTACAAATTGACCATTCTATTCAAGGTACGCCATACCGGTTCACTTAAGTCAGCTAGCTGAATTCCTTTGGGTTCACCACTGATGAACCCAGCTTCAAGAGAGCGAAACAGCTGTCCAGTGGTTGGTGAAACCTACGGATCACCAGCCTAAATTTTGTTGCTATTCAGTAGTAGTATACTTCGTTGGTTCGTGACACCTTTGTGACAGACAGGAGTCACATCGGGGACCCTGTAGCTTGAAAAGAAGCTACTCACCTGTGAGAAATATCAAAAAGGAGTCCATTAAAGCACTGTGTACTGTGTGTGAGTATTTTTCAAGCGGTTGTGGTATTGAAATATGTAAATAAGTAAACCAGAAAGCACATCAACTCACCGTAGATTTACACAGATTTTTATTACTACCACTGTTACTATAGTGATTATCTTTCTTTGTCTCAGAGAGAACAATATTTTTAAATGAACTGAAACTGGTAGCTGATGAAATTGATGTGGACTGTGGTGAAATTGTTCCATCTGAGGAGTCAGCGGTATTCATTAATTTAGATTTCCCCAGCGAGGCTTGATGATGGTGCTGGTTACTGCAGGGAAGACTCATCTGCGACATATTTAACAAGACGTTGGGAGATGGTGATGATGATGATGGCAATGACGATGGTTTCGAATTGGGAATGTTTGACATGTTATTGGTCGGAATTGTACCCCCGATGTTATTGAGAGTAACAGCAGTGCTAGCCGGTTGGTTTGTACACCACCAATTCGGCTGAGGATCTTTACCAGAGACGAGAAATGTGTTCACTTCATCTAAGATTGATTTCAATTCATTGATATTAGACTGTCTGTTCTAAAAATAGAAAAAATTAGTATGTATTACAGGCAATGGGTCTTCATCGGGCGTAACTTCAAAATGTAATTGAACAACATTTCCCACATTATTCGTACAGTAGGCAGCGATGAATCATACACCTATGGTGTATTAGTCGGAGTTGGGTTTAAACCCATGACCCATCCATTGTTGGTAGACAAATGCCTAGATCAGTGTAACACAGCTATCTCACTGACCACTTCCTTCGAGATCAGTTTCTCCGAGTTCTGATGAGAAGCACTGACCTGTGGGGTCAGGTATATTCAGTGGACCACAAAGCGGACAGTGAACTCCACTGTCGGCTGCCATACCACCGAGTGAACTATTCATACCACTTTGTATGAACTATATAAAAAGAAACTGTTTAAACAGTAATTATTTAGGAGAACTTACTTGTTCGGGGACTTTTTCAATCGCTTCAGACAATTGTAAATGACACAGAGCTAAGCATAAAGGCAGGTCAACATGATCCCTTAGGCCAAGATGAGGAGCATACTGATGACCAGTTGGAAGGGGAGGTAAAATAATCGAATTCACAGCAGTCGGTGTATTGTGGCATGTTTTATGCCTTGAAGATTCGTCACCGAGAGGTTTCACAGAAGAATCACCATTCATACTGAATTTTGAGTTATGCTAATTCGATAAGTTAAGAAAGGGGAAAGACAAGATGAATAAAGTTAGACAAAGTTGACTATATATACATATATAGGCTCGAACTCTGGACCTCCAGGTCCCGTGGTGAACGGGATAACCAGTTAACCACGAATTGCAACTCCTGTCAATTAGCGACATACCGCGACTCTCCACCAAGATCTTCACTTTTTATCGGGCTTCACTTCTGGCTGAAAGACCCCAAATGTTACGGCTTCTCATTAGAGCCCCAAAATATCCATATGGAAGCATGTCACTAATGAGCACTAAACAGTAAAGTGGTTTCACGGTCCAGAGTTCGATCCCTGGCAGGAAAATGGGTGTAGCTTGCTGAGAAATGACATACTACGATGAAACAGCTGACCAGCGCTACCTGGTTTCCAGCGGTTATCTAACGCATGTCAGTCAGTTCATAAAAAGACACTTCTAGCGCATAGATTATGGTACTCCTCGTGTTGAGTTGAAGGTTTACAAAGTAATGAATAAACTAAAGGTTCCAATGGAAGATAAACAGATAGAGAGATAGACAAAAACAGTGTAGAATCTCATACACAACTCCATCCCTTCCAGTTTCCACACACTTCACAGCAACATAAAAATAACAAGTCAATAGGAAAGTGATAAAGGTGTACAGCAGGAGAAGAAATTTGGAAACCACTTTTTGTGAGAATATTCAAGCTTTAGGTGTGAAGGAGTGAATAAGACTGACAGACCGATTGTGATCGATTTTCAGGTATGTCACCAATAGTCGTCAAGCACTGATTGACTGATTGATTGATTGATTGATCGATCTATCGTTTGGAGGACCTGAAGTAGGTAGTGTTAAATTTCCGATACGGGTGAGACAGACGAACAGTGAGAGATTTGATCGACTGGTGTGATGTGTTGGTGTGGCCGCGGTGATGAAGCGTCTTCCAACGTAATCCAACTTCCCCTAGGTAGGATAGTGAGTGGTAGGTGGAGGGAAGGAGGGGTGGCTCGGCATGTCCACCAGTATATGTGGAAGCCATCTCAGTGGATGATGGTTGACGACGTCATCGTCATCAATCGACTTGCGTATCAGAACAGTAGAGTACAGTACAGTGCAGTGCAGTGTAGTACAGTAAAGTACCATTCGCCTTACGTGAACATTGGTGGCACGGTGTTGATTGCACCGAACGCGAGCAATGCTACTTATACATGTATGGTGAGAAGTGGATAAATGCTTGATGTCTTCTACTTTTGATGGGCATGTTCCACAGCAGTAGACGCGCATGAGATAAGGGAGTTGAGTTGAGTGGAGTGCAGTCTCCTCGTGCATTGATTGATATGTAGGTAGGTAGGTAGGTAGGTAGGTAGGTAGGTAGGTAGGTAGGTAGGTAGGTAGGTAGGTAGGTAGGTAGGTAGGTAGGTAGGTAGGTAGGTAGGTAGGTAGGTAGGTAGGTAGGTAGGTAGGTAGGTAGGTAGGTAGGTAGGTAGGTAGGTAAGTAGTCGTGTATGCAGAGAGTCGCGAAATGCGAAACGAGCCATTTGTATGCGAGGTGAGATTTCGTTAGGAACCAGCATGTTCAGGCTGATGCAACTGCCGAATTAGAGTAAACGAAGTGATTGATGCGTTTCCTCACTTTGCTGGAACTAGTTGCGCACCAGTACTGAAAACCCATCTTATATTTGGCAGGTACAATATGCCATTATGTAAGTTAACAACAAAATGAAGAACAGGTCTTATGGCTGATAGCAGTGGGTCTTCGAGCTCACAACACTACATTAGATAATCACTTGTAAAAGAGTTTCGAAGTTATCCTACGTAAATTGTCATCCTTGATTGAACTGAAGTGATCGTCGGTGACTGGCATATGGGCTCCTTTTCGGAAGCTTCAACATTGCTGGAATTAGCAATTCTCGATATCAGTGGTAGACAGTTGCAGCGAGGTCTTGAAGCGACTGGTCCTGGGTTCGAATCTAAGTAGGAATCAATCACTTCTCACTATCAGGCAGGTACACCTAGCTGAAGAGTCCTAAATGGAACAAAACACGTATCAGAGACTGGGAGAAAGAGCGGAATTCTTTCACAAATACGAATTCTACCTATGCAACTGACTGGAGGTCCTAGCCGACGCGCGTTCGAATGGACAGCCTTCAGTAATATGATGTAGTTACTCGGGACGCCGCTGTTTCATTGAGCAAGACTGTCATCAAACCTCCTGATCATTGATATTCATCGTCTCCTTTATATCAAGAAATATTATAAGTATCGGGCACCGTTAAGTACGTCTATGTTTCAAGATCTTGACAGGATATAAAGACTGGTTTGTAGGAGTCAGTAGCATTCTGCTGATGAGTTCTGAGTGGGACGAAACGGGCCTCTTGAATTCCACTGCTTCTTGAGGTATCTGAAAGACATGGGTTAGTCCGTGAACAAAGAGTCCAAGGAAAATCTACTCGATACTGGTCACACACGGTCATTTTGGCCAGTTTGGGATTTTACTTCACTGGTTTTGAATCTGAGTATGAACTCAGATCGCCTGCATCGTTGGGACGCTGGATAGTGGGAAGTGTACCTTTTTTATGGTCGACCTCCAACAGCCCCCTGCTTCCTATAGAAAAGGCAGCATTAGCGTAACAGTGCTTGATGCCCAAAGGAAACACCTTCCTGCTGTCACATCTCCGTTCAGTCAAGAGTACGACTTCGATGACCTCGGACAGCCAACATAGCGTGGCAACTTACACTATAATGATTACTGTTTTTTGCCTTACCTCTATCCAGCAGACATTTCTCGTATGGTAGAATCTCAACAGAACAATTGTTTCACCACCAGAAAAGATCGTTGGGTCATTTGGCGGCAACCAAGCCAGACCACCATGTCACGTGAAGGTAGTCTTTATGGGTCAGGAAATTCGTCTACTGGCTATTATTCATCATTATTGTACAAAAATGAAATTATACCGGCAAAATCGAGGTATCCATAGCGGAACAAAGAATCATGGCCGTCATTCGGAGAACACGCTATGCAGTAGAGGTCAACATCATGGAGGAAACGAAAGAAGTGTACTCCAGTAAACCCTCGCTGCATTTGAACGATGAGATCGCATCCAGTTGCGTTTATCAGTTTACATGCATGTATGATGGTCACAAATATATAGAGAGAACACGCTAATCCGTGCAAGTAAAGGCCATGGAGCACATCTCAAAGCAACTGCGGCAACAACAAACTAAATCGCATGGTCCCATCAACCTAGATAATCCGTGACCAACTTCTTCCCGACCTAAACACCACTGAAACGGGTCTTAAGGTCCATTTGGATGCTCTTTCCAGCTCATTTAGAGAACCTACTGGGCCCATGTACTTGGCTTTACTGAATATCCAGCTATAAGGAAGTTGCAACCTTTTTATGGATTCAGAAAGAACTTTTTGCTACACTAAACCTTCCTTGGTAACTCAGCTTTGTTAGTATGGTTGATTAGCGCACCGTCTTTAACCCCATAAAATATCGATTTGTCCTTCGTGAAAGTTCATGTAAATATAAATTACAAGCGCATGTGCACCCCCACCACCCAATGAGTGGTGAGTGATATTGTCCACGCTGGGACTCGAACCCAACCCCACGACTTCAGATGCATCTGCTAGGCTACTGTGTTGTAGCAGCTACTTCTCATGAAACAGATACACTTGGATATCATTAAGGAAAGTTCCACACGCCTACTTGGAACATACTGATTGGTTGTTGAGAGGTACGTATATCCAGCTGATGAGTGAGGCTCATATTGGACGAAACTAGCCTCCTGGATTCCACCGCTAGCCACCATTCATGATTGCTACCGGGCTAAATTTGACAGCAATATCAAGGCTTTTATTCAGGGAGCCCATTAACCAGTACTGCTCGATCAGTTTGGTCCAGTCGACTACAAGAAACTACAGCCCGTAAAATGATAGTTGTGTTTCAAAATGTACTTTTCAAAATTTTTCTAGGAGGCTGTTCATCTAACAATGCAGTTTGGCAACAGTTACTGCTTGTAAAATATGAACACTGGATTGGTCTTCTCACAGTAGAATCCTTAATACATGACATAGCCATGTTATGTGAAGATGCTGACAGGATGCAGAGTTTCTTGGACATCTTGGGAGGCAGTTTGAGAATAGATTTTTAGATGCGCTTCTTAACACTGAACTGCATACTGATGTTCCAGCACTGGTCTTCCCTGGTCCCTTGTTCCATAGGAGAGAGTGGAGCGGTTGTATGTGTTGACCAGTTCACTTTTCTTTAGATCAGCTTATGAAGTGAGTCACCTACCAACGTAATCTTCAGACGGATACAGGGAGACTTCGCCGCCGTCATCATTGATTGCCAATTGAGGGTCAAGTGTACTGCGCTGCAGTTCCCTCTGTTCTACTAAACAGCCTGTCTGTCTTTCTGTCTGTTTGATGTGAACTGGTCACTACCAGGTAAGCACTGGAGGTCTCTACAGACATCAGTCACCCGCGGGACTCTACAGACCAGACAGTTGAATGGGCTACTTTTTAATGTACTGATGGGGATCAGTAGTGAGTTGAATAGGCTAGTAGTGAAGTCTCTGACTCTCTTCAGCATTGCGTAACGCAGGGCCAAACCTATGTGGGCATATCGGTTTCATCATGGTTGTAGATATTCCTGGCTGGTAAAATTCACTTTGTCGACCAGCCAACTGTTAGCAAATATGACAAGTCTATTAATTTGTTAGGACGTTCAATATACTATTATGTAGGCCGTTAAAGAAGCTAGAAATGTTTAAAATTACACTCACAACCAATCAGAACAATCTTACTGTTATAACCTTCTCAGGTTGTGATTATATTAAGCGCGTAATTCTGTCTATCCAGTTCTAACGCTGACCTTGGACGTGAGTGATCTAGAATATGCTTATACTTACCCACTCTCGTATCGTGCTCAATCTACCCACACGATGAGTCATGTAATTCAACCCTACAAACAGAACGCTTACAACATAACACAAAGTTTGCTGCTAACTTTCCATATATATTTCAGGCGGTCTAATTCATCTGTATGCGTAATACAACCAAATTACCTAACCACAACGCAACATAATTGATAAAAATGAAACAACCTGTTAATTTCAAGCATCAAACAAACCGAAGAATGCATAAAAATGGATTGATTGATTGATTCCACTCAACACGTTGCAATTGTTTCCAAACTGTAGGCAATGCATGAATAGGTGGGGGTTAATAGAAAGCTCTTGAAGTGGGTTGTACAATAATGCTACCGATTCAGTGATAAATACAATGACCTGTTAAACAAATAAATAAAATAATACGACCAGTGACACTTCCCATCTGAGGAGAATCATATTTCTGCGCTTTTCGGCTGATATAACACTGAGCATTTCACAAGAGTCTCTTGACTATACCTTTTCCCTAGCCAACTGAACAATACGGAAAAATCGATTGGATGTTCCATCCTAGAAACGCCTAGAAAGGTTACCAGTAAATATATATGTGTATATATCGATACAGCAGTATTTTTTGCACAACTGAACTTTATGTTAAATGGTGGGAGCTAACCAGCAGAAAGCCACAGCTGGATCTAGGTGCCGAAATTGTTGATACACATCAGCAACGAGTATCTGCAATTATAAGAAAACTGGTGTTCCCCAGGGGGTTCAAACCTGTACTTGTCAGTGCTAAAAGGAGTCAGAAACGTTGCAAACGACCCCCTGTAGAACTGGACTGTATGCACACAAGCTAGTCAGCCGTGGGTAAGGCAACTACCTCTAAGTGCTTAACACTGTAACCACTTACCAATTTATTGATAACTCGTGGACTCTCACACCCACGTGAATGATTTGACCGGTGAAGAAAATCCTTGAGTCGATAAGTATCCCCGATAAATCCTTCATGGTTTGACTGACTACTGTTGATGAAACGAGTCTCCAAAGAGTTATCTTGTCTTCTTCCACAATTAGATAGTGCAGAGTTGAGTAAATTTTCATCGGAAATCATCATATGCAAAGAATGTGGAACAGAACCGTTATAAGTGTTAATATATTTGTTACTATCCGTATTACCATGACAACCGTTATTGTTGTTACAGATATTTGATAAGGAATTGATCGATTTCAAAACTGTACTGCTGAGGGATTTCTGTGAAGAAGTCGGTTTTGCAACTGGGGTTGAAATTGAATGGAGAAACTGTCGAACAGCTGGAAGTTGACTGGTTACAAATTGATTCATAAACTTCATATAGGCTTCTTTTGTACCGCTGAACAAACTAAAATTCGCCAATGTTTGAATTGTTTTAGCCACCTATGGGTAAGAAAAACACAAGTAGAAGAACAAGGATGAAATAATGCTCTTCAGCTTAGATTTGTATCACAGATATAAGAAATTCATTTTTTGAGGACTTAATGATGGGGAAATGGCTAGCAGTGGAGTTCAGGATGCATTTGTGGACCTGGTTGGATTGGAACTCATTAGCTGGATGTGCCTCCCACCCAGTGAGCGGTATTTTTGTCAGCGACAATCGAACTTAGGAACCGTTTCTTCAAATACAAAACACCTTGGTTACCAGTATCCTGGTCTGGAAATTGTACATACGGTACTTAGTGCTATGTGCTGCTACTGTTAACCTCTTGGTGAATCCTTTTACTGAGTCAATGAGTCAGGCAGTCAATAAAAGTGAATAAGTGAATCACAAGTGGCTGACCTTAAACCTTGTTACCTTCCGTTCTCATTGGCTGAAATTCTAATGAGACTGCCTACGGTTTCAAGTCTTTGTATATTTTCTATGTGTTCTGTCAAATGCATGATGGAATGGTGGAATGCACTCATCTTTCTTCATGAGTCAAATGGTCTAACGTTAGGGATCGTAGGCTCGATACAAGCATAGATGAAGACCTGTAGTAATCCCTACAGTATTTATAATTACACATCCATAGAGGAACACACACCCCCAAGTGAAATTACGACCAGTAACATGAGTCGTACCGTCAGATCAAGAACATAAAAATGGTGACTAAAAGACGTAACACGTGACCACATGCTTCTCAGCAAAATATTTGTCAGGTAGAACCTGATGTCAGATTACCTGTTCCATCACCCTTGCCTTTCGTAACATTGCCCATATGTCATGGAACCAATCCGTTGGTACCGTAGAAGTCAGGAGTAGAGTTCTGGGTATTAGAGTTAAGTCACCCGGTGTTAGCTGAAGTACGTTTAGGCTAGAAATAAATTTAAAGCGGTCAGACTGAAACATGACATCAATTCATGAGGCCTCCGACTGTCGGTCTTAGTTGCCTAAAGAAATATAGATATACCAATCGGGGTTCATATGACAAGCAAAATTAATTATTGGAGACACTAGGTGATGATTCGACTCATAGTCCCTAGTAGTTGAAAAAAACGCTTCAATGAAATGTTATATAACCACACAACAAAGAATCGGATGGCCAATCAATTAGATCAAATAACTCATGTATAACCAGCCAAATCCCGAAGAATGGCGACCTAAGTCTTGGCAAGAACTGGCGAGGAATCACGCTCCTGTCCACCTAGTGCGAGCAAAATATTAAGCCGCATCATCCCGGAGGGACTAAAGGATGCACTGGATTCAAAACTACGATCAGAACAGGCTGGCTGCCTTCAGGAAGTACAAATCATGTGCCAACCAAATTGCAACGCTACACTACGCATCATCATAGAACAGTATAGAATGGCAGTCAACTCTACACCTCAACTTCATCGACTTTGAGAAGGCCTTTGACAGCGTCGACCGAGAAGTAATCTGGCAACTGCTCCAACACTACGGAACACCGCAAACCTTTATCAACCTCATTCAACAACTATATGAAGATGCCACATGCCAGTCAAGTAATTCACAATGGGAAACTCAGTGATGCTTTTGAAGTGAAGACAGGAGTGAAACAAGGTTGCCTACTATCCCCCATGATATTCCTGATTGTGGTGGACTGGATTATGCAACAAACAGTGAGGAGCGAGAAGAGGGGGATACGCTGGACTGCGGAAAAGATCCCAGAAGATTTGGATTTCGCCGATGACTTGTGTCTAGTGTCACACAAACTTGAAGATCTACAGGCGAAAACTAACAAGTTGACAGAAGAGGTAGGGCAGCGAAGGCGGGACTTCAAGTGAATATAGAGAAGACAGAGGTGATGAAGATACCCAACTAAGACCAACAACAACAACAAGTTCCAATCACTATCAACGGGAGAAACTTAAAAGCAGCACTGTTTCAACTACAGGCGGCTTGGACGAGGACGTCAAAGTCAAGATCGGGAAAGCAAGACAGGCGTTCATTAGCCTGAAACCAATGTGGAGATCTTCTGCACTCAGCACAAAGCGTGAACAAGATCCGGATTTTCAACACCAACGTCAAGTCAGTGCTCCTGTATGGCTGAGAGACTTGGCGCGTTACGAAAGGGATTTCCAACAAACTACAGACATTCATCAACAACTGCCTACGCTCATTACTGAGGATAAATGTCTAGAATAATAAGAATAAGCAACAAGGAACTCTGGGAACGAACCAACAAAGAACCTATCACTCAACAAATATGCAGTAGCAGGAAGTAGAGGTGGATTGGGCATACACTGAGAAGGCCGACTGGGGACATCACGCGCCAGGCCAGGTACCGAGTGGAACCCAGATGGAAAACGACGAGTTGGGCGTCCGAGGTGAGGGTGACATGGAGGAGATCGTGTGAGGAGGAAATGAGAGCTTCTGGGCTGTCGTGGAGCCAGGTTCGAAAGTTTTCAGAGAAAAGAGTGGAGTGGGGACGTGCTACTGAAGCCCTATTTTCCACTAGGAACCCGAGGGACAAATAATAAAATAATAATAACCAGCCAAACTCTAGCACTTAACCTATCATTGCAAAAAGAATCCCCCACTCCAGTTGGAGCAAATAGACCAAGCAGCATAAAGGACCCCTCCCCGTCTTTAATATCAACGAGCCAACCAATCAGATCAAGACAACCTAAATCAGTTCATTCAAAACAAAAGACCAACCAATCACAATGAAGCCAAATTAAGGAACTGCAAACAAACCAAAAAAAAAAAGCAAACAGTTACGTTTTCGCTCACCTCTCTAGGAAAACTAGAAGCAGGATGTCAACCAATCAGGATTGCCACACGCCAACACAGTTACCAAGCAACCAATCAAGTTACAAGCAGGCGAAGCAGTATGTTACAAATATCTATGCAAAGTCGTGACAGTGAGTCGTTTGCCAAAATGAAACCCTAGCTCGAAAGAGAACGACTCACTGAACACTTCGGGGTTTATTTTAAGTCCTTCCCCTCCTTCTCATACCTTTCAATATGTTTTAGTGATATTTTATTGTTCTACTCATCTGGCTAGCAAACTGACTGACCGAATTACAGATGCTTCATCAACCAGAAAACGTCATTCTTCACAACCCAATATTTACATAACTAAAACAATAGCTTCAAAATAGAACTAAAGAAACACATTATTAGTCACTAACCAGAGTGAATGCGCGTAGAACACGTGGTTCACTGGGGAATTCTTGAGTTAAATTGAATAATGAAGGCGAGAGTATAGCTGGACATATATAGCGTAGGAATAGGCAAGCTGAGATCACATGTTCACACAATGTACCACTGACACTGGAATTGACTGCATCCAACTGACCTTTCTTGTTGGTATTGTTGTTCTTCCAGTCACTCACCGGGGAATTAGTATCCTTTGAACAGTCCAAATGATGTCTGATTTCTACAAACAACGTTCTGAATTGTCTATAAAAGAAGGGCAGTACAAATGATAATGAAAATGGTAAGGATGAACGTGTGTGTGTGGATAGCATAGTGAAGAAGTAAAAGTAGGAACTTCAGATGAGTAATATCAACCGTACTAGTCTACTCTTCTTTTAAACGACACCTTCCACCAAAGACTTATTGTATGGTGTTATAGTATAGATCAGAGTAAAAGCTTTCTATTGATGTCTGACTCAGTTCTGTACAATTAATGGTTTTGAGTGCGATCGATTGGTGTGTGTATTGTACATGACAGTAGAAGAATTGTGAGTACTACTTCACCTTGTGTTCGTTCATTTGCGTGAATGACTCATAGGTATGCGTAGAAGTGTACAAGGTATGCAGGAAATCACAACCACATGACATAGTAAGGGTCACATATTATATCCTCCGCCGTTATATATTCAAGTCACGTGATATTAAAGCATATTGGTCTGTATTGATTGGTCAAGGGAGTGCAACCAATTCCATGTTGTCTAGTCCTGAGTGCAGACCGAATCCTATCGATCATATTTGAGATGTGGCAACCAAGCTAGGAAGCTCAGCATCGCGGTGCACATTGGTAGATGTTAGTTGATTGGAGGCAATCGGCAGGAAGACATGGACCTACTTTTCATGCTTTTTGGCACTCATCAGCAAAGCGTATCTGCAACCTCGACGGAACTGATGTTCCGCCTGAGGTTCGAATCCGCGTCAACCAGTGTTGTAGTCAGCGACCTCGCCACCAAAGAGCTCATTGGTAAAGTCTCTGACTACAACACTGGGTGACGCGGGTTCGAATCTCAGGCGGAACATCAGTTCCGTCGAGGTTGCAAATATGCCTTACTGACGAGTGCCAAAAAGCACGAAACGTAGGTCCATGTCTTCCTGCCGATTGCCTCCAAGCAACTAGCATATTGGTCTGTTTGTCAGTATGACACACTGTGGATATGACACATCCGCAAAAAAGATGATGAGTGACTTTAAAGGTCACCTTAGTAAAAACTGAAACAACTAACTGGACTTCTTTACTTTGTGAAAAACTACCTTTCCAGTCGAGTTGGAAACTCCTAATTGGTCATCTTATTGGTTGCTGAGGTGGCCTCGGAGATCGCTCCAAAAAGATACTTTCAAAACAAGCCAATTAGAAGCGTGTATTACAATGATCAATCCAGCTCACTTCGTATAGGTTACTGAGGAATCCATACTATTCATGAGTCACTCATGATCATCATCAAGTTATATTACCCGCGACTGTAGGAACAGTGCCTGCATACATCTACACTTGTAACAGTCTCCATTTGTAGAATTTTCCTATCCTCAAGGATAGCAAAGCTACGGCACTGATGAGCTTCATGCGAAAATGCATGAAATTTTAGAGGAATAGTTTTGTCTACCGGGCAGATAAATGAGCACATATATGTTGACGAACTCAGACTTGATTTCTCAAATACATCAGAGAGCAGGTGACCTCAGTGTTGGCTTGCCCAGTGACGATCACTGCGACATCAACGAAGATACACTTCATGGCTGGTTGTAAATCAACTGACTTGCTTCGATGTGAATTTCATGGAATTCTGGCGAGAAGTCCTGACCTGTGGGGTCAACCATCTCGAGTGTCGATAGGAAAACTCGTTCATGGCATTAAACGATGCTTATGTGCGGTACATCACGAACTGACAGAAGTAGGAAAATACGGAGAATTGGATTCCGACTCGTTGGTTAAGTGGCAACATGCTGGATACCGGGACCCGACAGTCCTTGACTAGATCCCTCCTAGGATCATGAACACAGACTGCTGAGGAATCGCATGATAGGATGAAAAACAAAGTCGATCACCAACGACGGGTATACTAAGGTGACTGAAGAATGAACCTATCTCCAAAGGAACATGTCAGTCTAAACTCAGGCGAAGCCAGAGGTCACAGACTTCACTGCATTAAAGCCAAACGTCTGCATATGATAAAAACAGAAAATATCAGTGGAGTGCATAGATAGTGAGGCATAGCAGACACGCAACCTACTCAGGGAATTCGCCTTCACTGGCCAATATCTTCTTCCATACCGATTCGACTAGACATAATAAATTGAGCTGATTCTCTGCCAGCTGCGAGGATGTATGCACTTTGGCTATGTCGACTTCATAATCGATTGGATAGTGACGAGCTGTTGGTGATGTCGGTGTTGTTGAACTAACCGGTTGACCGTAGATGACAGTCTGTACAAAATCGGAGAGAATATTTGATAGATATGTACCACCGACAAGACGTAAATAGATTTCGGTAGCTTTCGTAGCGATACTGTTGGCGCGTAGGACCATATTTGGATCAGCTTGACACGGGGGGTGAGTGGTTGGTAACGGTAGAGGGGGCAAGAGAAAGACAACAAAATGATAAGATAAAAAAACAAATCAGCGATTTTTTTAAAGTATGCCAGCTGGATGAAGGTAGCCAGCAGGAAGCCCTGTTACACAGCTAGGTTTGGTGCTTTTCAGAACTCGATAGGACTGAAGTCCAACCCAAAAGACCCTTGGAAAATGATATTCGAACCTGCGTCGTTCAATACTGTATTTAGTGAAGTTGCGGCAGAGCTATTCCGGCACCATATCCTCACTTAGAGTCTCTGTTGTCGTGGGGACCTCAACCGGCTAGTACGCATCTCCGAACGAGACTTGAACCAACAGTCAAAGACTTCCTGTACTGATGGCATGTTGCAGTTTGGTCGCCTCTGACCTAGTTCCAACCTAGACCTACTTTGACTACCATTGTGTGACCAGATAGATAGTGATTAGGCATGGCTGATACATGTTTCAGCCACATAGGATCAATGATACAAGTCTGTCAAATCACAACTCTGTCTCAGATAGTCAAACTGAAAGAGGCCTCTCAAATTGATATTCACCACATAGTGACATCAGTTGAAGAATCACTGAAAACCCGAGAGCAACAGACAGCTGTTTAGTCCAAATAGTATAGAACTTGTCAGCAATTTCTCGATCTATTGTTTTAAAGGTTGCAGATATGTCTTCATTGTCGATTAAATCGATTAAATGGTGTCTGATTGAATTAGTAAGCGACTTCTAACCGTTATGTCTCAGGCTCTTTGAAACGTAGCCAAACGAATGAACACAAGGCACATCTTTTGGTAAGTTAGTACATGTGAATTGTGTTGAAATTGTCACATACTGACGCTCACTAGCTGAGCTCATCAACACTCCTGAGTATGCAGGACACTTTCCAAGTAGAGCTATTGAAGGGGTCAAGGGTTCGAATACCACTCCACCTACCGAGGTCTATGCATCCAGGTAACACCAATAGCTCCCTCTCCACTACCATATACATAAAGTGTATAGCTCATTACCGCTTTCTGCCCAAGCCTGCACCGTACTCAGGTAAGTTATCAGGTAGTTTCAAATTGTACCGATGATACATTCATTGTTTGTTACAAGAATTGTGACTTGTAGAAAGTAATTCAGCTTTCCAGTAAATATCACAACTCTGCAATCAGTTTTACAATGGAGATGGAATCCATACTGAAAGATACTATTCCTCGACAAGAAGAGATGATGGGATGCTTAGAACATCCACTTGTCGAAAACCTATGTGAGATGAACAAATGACAAACTCTAATACCTGAGTTGTCTCATCGGCCGAAAAAAAGAAATTTAATCCATTCTTTCTTCCTCTCGAAATAAAGAGTTTTGTACTTCTGAAACTGGAGAAGACGATGATCAACATTCATCGGAAATGGATAACCAGAGATTCATTGAAATGCTATCAATCACTTTTCTATCAGTATGGAGAATAAAAAGCTGATTTTACGCTTAGAAGTCAATGTAGTCACAGCTGATGAGGTACTCGAACGTAGATCACTTAGGGTTGTCGTTCAATGGGGGAACACTTATGTGTAGGTAAAACTGTTACTGATGGACACTTCAATGTATACACATAAATTCATCTGCTTCCGAGGAGCTAGGCACATGGGTTGGCTTTACGCAGAGACAGGTTGCCCTAAATCGACGCCAACATCTCACATAGCGGGTCAGTAAAGGTGAAAGCAGGTGAATTAACACCAGACATACGGTTCTAGAGGATTCTTTTCCTCCACTAGTCTGCAAAGTACAAAGGCAAAGTTTATTTTTCACTGCTGAGACTTTTACTGTCGAATGCCGTATTTAATCGCAAAAATGTTAGTTTATTCTACCTTCCTCTTTATTGAATAAATTGCGTTACGACAGCTTTCGTTTTCAATGGAAGACGTGGGCTCATCTTGGTGACTAGCAGTGGAATCCAGGACACAGGAATTTGGTCCCATTTGGGACTCGTCAGCTAGATGAACTTGCACTACCTGGTGAGCGATACAGTTTCCACTGAAACTCGAATCCAGTACTCACCGCTCCAAACACCAAAGCTTTACCCACTGGTGCACGACAGCCAGCTCTTGCGCAACGTGTAACAGTTGTTGTTCGGCCCTTGAAATATTCCGCTGCAATAATTGGTCTGATTTCTCGACCGCTGTTAGCTTTATCATTTCTTACAAAATCGATTGGTGAAACCTACGCTGTAACTCAACACAGAGGAGTAAAGTAATTGATTTTGTATGGATATTTATGATGTACTACTTCATTTGAGCATGATCTGATTGGTGGTCGTTTAGTCAGTGTATGGGTGCATGCTTAATCTGATTGGTTGATTTCCTACCTATAAAAATTCACACTCTGAGATAGGAAATGTTTACCATAATGATTAGGCATGCCTAGACACTCACTTTGAAATACAAGGTAACGATGTGAAGGATATGACAACAAAGTATGTATGGATTTGCGCCGGCTGAGATCGACTCCTAGCTAGGGTCATTAGCTTGAGCTGTTAACCACCAAACTTTTTTTGTCACACACACGAACTCCAACCGAGAAGTCTATATTTCTCTACACGGTTCACACCAACAGTCAAAGACATCAGGAACTGATGTCTAGCCGCCTCTTATCTTTAACACAGCATAAATCAGCTTCAGTTAACGCTGAGCGACAGAACAGATGATGATTAGGCATGCTTGAGGCATTAACCAGTCACATGAATTGCTGAAGGCTTTAATCAAGGAATTAGGAGCCTTGGTCTTGTTGTCTTCCTGAAATACACAGAACACTCGTCTGAATGCAAAGCCAGCTTCGATGAGACAACCTTAAAAGAGATACAAATTTGTGCAGTCCGTGATACGGCATAAATCATTGTAGAAGTAGCTTTCAAGAAGGACAGACAAGTGCCTGATATTCAAAAACCATGAAACTCATAATGGTTTGGAGATAAGTACCGGTTTTGAATTTACTTTAATCTTGGACATTAAGGAAATATACTAGTGAATAACAAAATGAGTGGTTAGAAATCAGTCAGGTCGCTGATCTGTACATTTCGACAGGCATATTAACACTGGACGGCCGTTCCGCTCATTTCGGGCAGAAGCTCATCTCCAGCAGTATACCTCGAGAAATTCAGCCTATAGAGGCACCAAATTAGTTCAGAATACCTGAATCTGGCCAGCCGTATGACATATGGACAAGTGTATCATACCTTGAATAAGATGATCAATTTTCAAATGGTGTACAAAGTGTGCATAGTCCACATAGACACTTCTCACAGTTGAGTAGTTTTCCCAACTGCCAACCAACTGTGGAGTCAGCAGGGTTTGCGTCAAAGATCTCACCTTGTGATCTTGTCTGGCTGAGGGTGGCGTTGTCTCAATAAACCTCTACAGTGTCAGCATACAAGGAAAGCACCTGAGGGACACTAAGTAGGCGCTTTCTCAATAAGACTGGGATTACAATGCCATCTAAAGCTACAAACTAACTTGAAAACAAGCCTTGTAGGTTCAAAGATCCCACTGATTCAATTAGGTAGAATGAATTGGCTTACCGAATCTCTTGCAATGACTGCGAAGTTGAATATATAGGTCAAAGTAGTCAACCAGGGTCAATCACGCTGTTCAAGTACAAAAGCCTTAGCTAAATCAAGACTGGTGAGTCCTAGTAAGATAAGCGATCTGGAGGGAAGCTTGGCTTTATTTATGCTCATGGTCATACACTATAGGGTGGAACAGAGTGACAGTCTTTACCTCCAACCTATTTCGGTGGGGAGAAAGATTGGTAATGGAGAGACTCAGCGTTTGGTCTAGATACCACGATGCTCACCTCATACTCTTATATACATCTCTGCGTTACCCCACATTTTGTGAAGACCAAGTTACCCTAATTTTACACAGAAACTGTAAATTTTGACGATTTCCTATTAGACAGTATGAAAGATTACCGTCAATGATTGATTGATTGATTGATTGGTTGATTCAACCAATAATCGATTCACAATTGACGTCAATTATCATGTTAGTGGCATAGAGGCCAATTTTTGACTATTGATTCAGACAAGTGTCTGTGATAATTTCATGCGAACAAAGAAAAATAGACATTTACGAAAATCAATTACTGTTCATCTAACCTTATTCAACAAACGTATACATGTACTGTGTGTTTGTGCGTGCATGTGTGAGTGAGTGAATGCACACTTGTGTTTTTCAATCTTAACAACAACAATTAAACAAGTTCTAATCAAATGACAGTATGAAAATTTCACTGTGTGACGCAAAATGCATTTTTCGCTTGGTTACTGATACCGGTATGTGGCTCTCATACCCCAGAAGCCTATCGGATGATGAACACTGGCCTTTGAAGTTATAGGCGAGAATAACGCCACTCGGAAGGGTGCAGGTACTTCCAGCTGATGAGTCCCGAGTAGAACGAAACGTTCGTGTCTTGGATTCCACTGCTAGCCACTGAATAGGCTGTGAATTTCTTGTTTGTATTTCATCGTCAGTGTTCCCTCAAATAGTTATAATCCCCACCCTGGAGGGGAGTATAGATGGTTCCCCTAGTACCCTGCCTCCGCGGCTGATATCTTTAAAAAAAAATGGTTTCATGCTCACTGAAGAAAACTTTCTTCGCATCAACTTCGAGAACTGCTTTTCCTGGTGACCCGAAGATTAAGTTTCCATAGCTGACCACTTCCATATGTGTTTGTAGCTTGACCTGCTTCTGTGGAATCAAGTATGTCTATCGTTCGATGCGCGTTTTTTTAACAGGTCAGATAACATTACACCCACCTGAATACTTCACTGTCGAAATATGCAATCAGGTATGAGTATTCCTGCTAAAAAGAGTTTTCCATAAAATAAATAAACGTAATCGGTTACCTCATCAGTTGCTAGGGCGCCCTTTAGTGTCACCCCATACCAGTTATCATCTTCATTCAACTTGACCTTTGTTTCTAGGGTCTAATTAAATAATACTTGTCACCACCTAACATAATGGGACAAAACGTACTGTGAAATTGAGATTGTATAACTGTGACGCATGAAATGGCCGAAAGAGATGTCCTTATTACTAATTCCTTGTTCATATGTAAACAGCTGATATGTTAGTTTCATGCGGGTGATTAGCTTCAAAATGCTTTCTGCTGAAGTTCTTGGGATTATTGATGGACCCTGGTAAGACAGGATTGCAACATCGGATACTGTGGTATATGCTACTTATAAGGAGAAGTATTTAGCAACATATAACAGCAACGACTTGTGATTGGGCCGACAATGATTATACCTGTTCTATGCGGCCCTGATTGATACTGTAGTCCCATTGGCTATTATTTAAACAAGTATGTTAGTGTGCAGACAGGTATTTAACATTGTGAACTGTTTGGTAAGATATAAATGGTCAAAGTCATCAGACTTACTCTGTTTTCTCACTTCGCATAGAATAAGACTAGTCAAGAATTCAGTGACCTGTCCACGAGCCTGTTGTAGGACAACCATAGAACCGGCTAGTTCAGCCTTTGCTTTAACATTCAACCATGGATCTAAACTGGACAACAGTTGGATTAAATCAGGTTTATTGGACGTGGTTGATATTGGTGAACTGGAGCTGAACTTGAAACCATTTTGAAGGTAACTTGTTGTGGGCATTTGAAATCGGCATAGATTAGCTTGGAGACGAGCATAACTAGACAACGGTAGGACAGTCAATGCACGATAACGAATTTTTACACGAATTTGTATATAATTCGAGTCGGCATCACGATTTGAATGTTTTCCTCTTGATTTGGTTTTATGTACAAGGATTTCATTGGTGGAATTTTGATTGTCCACCTGTTTTAACCGATTGCATAATCCTGTTGCCTCACTTGACTGCGGAGTATACCAAGCTTCCACTTCACCAGAATTTGAAATGTCTGATAGGCAAATGTTGACTGTTGCTATAGTGAAAGGGAAAGCGGATATATTCAAGGAGTGTAGATAAAAATTCCATGTTATATTTGTGCATTTGATTTATCCCCCACAAAGGGGCTGATATAGTATTGTCGAGTGGATAACGTTTAGGGCATAATCTACAACAGGCTCATAATCACATAAAGGCGGTGACCACACCACCTTCAGTAACTTCTTATTCCTTCCATCTTAGTGGTAATAACATTTTCCAGATATCACCAACATGTGAAGAGTCATTCCCGTTACAAATGTGTTACAGGTGTTTTGATTCAATTAACAAAGGTCCTGTAAACAACTCAACCCTCAGTTTAGAGTTATATTGGATTTTAGAATTGTCACATAGTCCCATCCACCTCATAGTGTCATTATGGATCTATGCATGCAGGGTAATAGCCGAGTTTTTCTCTAAATTAGTCATTTTAATAGGGTTTACCTTCCTATACCCACCCTGATAGGCTACTTTGACCCATAGATACTTGACCTTACAATCATTACACGGTATATGATCGATAAGGTCATCCTGCTTAGCTGGATCTACTGGACCTGTTACCAGACAAAGTTCCTCTTTGAGTGAGTTTGTGGGTTTCAATGCCCACCACTTGTAATGTCTCATTAATGTTCGCTTGAGTTCCTTATTTAGGTTTTCTGACTTACTAGTCAAACTCCTAGGTCGATTATATGAACATTTTATCAAGTCTACTGTTATCTGGAAAGAAAGTCAATTTATTCATCTAATGAAGTGATCAATGCAAGGCAGGAGTTGCTGACATACAAGGGAAAGATTTCCTCCCATCACAACACTCATGAGCTGCACACAACTTCGCTACTCAGCGTAACCAGAGCCCTACCTCCACTTTATGTCTTCATAATCAGCTTAATGTGGAGTCAGTGAGTGAGTGAGTGAGCATGCTTTGGTGTTCTGCATGTGTGTTGACAGTCTGTCGTGGACGCTTGAATTCACCAAGCTTGGTAAAATCCTCAGCAACACTAACTTCATGTTTGACTGTTTTGCGTAGCGTTTTACTTATCTTGACTGTTGTACAACTGAAAGTTGAGAAGAGATTTTTGTCACATGAACTTACAACTGGACAATCCTCAAGGTCAACAAGAACACTCGAGTAACATTCGAATACGCTTCACTTTACTTATGAACTAAGAGTAGGTGAGGATGTCACCAAGCCTGGTGATGAACATAAAGTCAACGACAAAATACTGAAGTTTAGAGAATACCAAAACACTATCGTCATCATAGTGGTGGGATTTAATAAGTTTCCAGTTACAGGTTAAACTGACTCACAGAAAAAATCAAGGCAGAACCTAGCACATAGGTGCATCGGCTCAATTCGCCATACTTGACACTTGACATACAGTAGTACACAAAGAACAGGTGGATAGGATAGGAAAAGAGTGATATGGAAGTAGATAAAGTAGTGTGAGAGAGAGAAAGGGAGAGAATAAGCAATGTGAAGGTTAGTGTAAATATGCCAAACATTAGAAGATGTGAAGGGGTGAATAGGGGTGACTGGGCGATTGTGATCGATTTTCAGGCATGTCACCAATAGTTGTCAAGCACTGACTGACTGACTGATTGAGTGATTGATTGATTGATCGGTCTATCGTTTGGAGGACCTGAAGTAGGTAGTGTTAAATTTCCGATACGGGTGAGACAGACGAACAGTGAGAGATTTGATCTACTGGTGCGATGTGTTGGTGTGGCCGTGGTGATGAAGCGTCTTCCAACGTAATCCAACTTCCCCTAGGTAGGATAGTGAGTGGTAGGTGGAGGGAGGGAGGGGTGGCTCGGCATGTCCTCCAGTATATGTGGAAGCCATCTCAGTGGATGATGGTTGACGGCGTCATCGTCATCAATCGACTTGCGTATCAGTACAGTACAGTATCATTCGCCTGACTTCGACATTGGTCACACGTCGGTGATTCCACCGTACACGAGCAAGGCTATCAGGATACCTGTATTCGAAAGTCGATAATCTTTTCATACCTAATCTTAACGGCAGTATCTCACAGTCATATCACAGGAGGAAGCAGACTTCAGAGCAGTATAAGCATCCTTTAACAGCATCCTTTAGTCGAATATCTCATCAATCAGTACCAGAGATGGTGCAATTTGGCAAATACTGAGCCTGTCTTCTGTATTCCAGCTGAGATTTCTTCAGCTACCAGTATATTAAACCCAATACGTTATCGAAAACTAAAGAACTCACGATTTCAATGCTTGCATTTAGTCACAGATACATCTTTCAGTGGTGATCAGTGTGTTGGAATATACAAAGCATTATTCTGAAGTCCTTAGAGAAATGAGAAACTATTTTCAAGATATTCACAATCAGTCATAGAAGTTCCAAGATTCGAAAGGTTCGCTTGAATTGATTTGTAAGTATCTGAATAGTTCAGTGGTAACATTGTTGACTACAAAAATGGGTGATGCGGATTCAAACCTTACAAGGGATGTTAATCAATTCTATAGGAAGTTGCAGAAATGTCTTTCTAACTTACGAATGTTGATAAATACAAAGCGAATGTGTAGCAAAGATTCTTGCTGACTGACTTCAGTCAACCAACATTTATTAAAATGCACGGAGGTGATGAGTCTCCTAGCTTGGTGGTTGACCATATTGGAAATGTGATCGATAGAATTCGATCAGAACTCAGGACTAGACAATAGCAAAACTGGTTACTCTCTAATAACCAATCAATAGATTTTAATGTATGCAAAAAGGTATTTCTCTTTCAATTAACGGGCTACTCCCATCTTTGAAGTTTACAGTTTATTCAAATGAGAAAGGTAACAGTGAAAAATCGGTTAGTTGGATAATTGTAGCTTAACAGTGAAGGCATCCCAAAGCAGTCCATTCAAGTTTGAATGGAAACATTTAGCATAAAATGAAGCATTTGGAGTTCCGTAATACAATCTCCCTGTCCGTGGTTTTCCAGAGACAGCGGTATAGGAATGCATAGCTAAAACTTCAAAATTCTAAGTGGGTTATGTATAACCAGACTCAAAACAGATATTGTTTGACCTCCTTTGTGGTCACCCATCAATATTCCAAATCCAATTTGTTTTTCAAACACTTCAGGAAGAAGTGACTCTCCATGGTGGGAGAAAGCGGGTAAGCGTCAACCCCCCTGACATCTCAGTCAGGGCTCGTGTCTTCTTTAGAATCTCAAAGTTAATCAGTAGAGACTTTCCTTTCCTCTCTAAAAATTTTCACCTGATGCAATGACCCCACGAAACACGGTTACGAAGACAATCCCAGAAGCCTTCATATGGTCTGTACGCTTAATGACTGACCATGTTCCACAGCCATGTAGTAGAACAGAGGGAACGGCAGTGCAGTATACCCACCTTTAAATAGGCAATCGGATACTACGGGGGACGCCGAGCGTTTGGCGAAAGTCAAACAAACCAATTTTCATTCTGGCGGAGATTTCGTTGGCAACTAACCCATCAGAGCCGACCCAACTTGCCGAGTTAGTGAATGGATCTCCTTTCTTCAATGAATTAACAAATCGATTTATCCAAAACTATTACGTTTAGCGAAGAATCACTCTTTTCAGTGATACCATCCTCAAACTTGGGTCCCATTGAACAGACACCTGGCATAATTATATTTTCATTATGGGATCAATCGGGCTCTCTGAACATAACTATTCCGGCTACACTACTGATGAACTCGCCTCCTGAAAACGAATGAAGTAGCCATCTGGTATTTGGATTGCCAGCGAACACTGTTGTTGGGTGTGATTGGTCTAAAACTACTCATTTCAGCCGTTCATTAGAACATTTAGTACAGTTGTGGTTTCTGCAGTCCTTGATGCTAATTGTGGTGTCTCTCAGGTTACATTGTGTCATCTGATTATATTAGTTTCCATAGAAAACTTATGGTAAAATTTCTCACCTCATCTTCATGGAGCTGTGTCATAGTGTCTTTAAACTACAGTCCCCCTTGCCGCCGCCCGTCAGGATAATGCTGCTTTTGTCAGAAATGCAGTGGTTTAACAAAGACAGACACGTTGGTATGAGGAGATAGAGAGAAAAGACTGGTCCAGAAGTTGTTAGAAATAGACTGACAGACGATCGATTAGCCAATCAATATTAATATTTTAAACGCCGGACTATGCATATATTTAGATATATTCTGCTCTGTCTTTTGTCTTCGGCCTTCGACCCAAATACACGTTTCATACACATTTATGATGTCTTCTCGATTAAATAAATCGGGTCGGGAATCAACTAGGAAGTTTCTGAACTCTGATGACTGACAGTAGATATCTATGTATAGATAGATACTATAGAAGTTTGAAATTATCATACACATAGACAAAATCATTGCACAACCTCATACACGAAAGTGCATAGCTTCGACTTGCCATACACTTCACAGCGGCATTCAAAGAACAAATAGATAGAAAAAGACTGATTTCAAAGTACACAAAGGCTTAAAAAATGTCAAAAAGTGACTGATAACATCTGCGTTATTGTTACTGAGTTTCTTCCATTTAACCGAGAGTCTCTAATCCTCAATTCCTATGGTCTTGGGTAGCTTATATCTCACCCAAAAGTCAAATACTTCATCGACTAGTGTCTGATCATGCTGTGTTTTCTTTCAACCTAATTTCAACCATGTCAAAGTAGGCGACAGTGGTTCGTCATGGGTCTTACATGTCTGTCAAACACTATGTTTCTGGCCAGAACGACTTGTCCCTTGTAATGAGATTTACGATCACAAAATTTAAAAAACACACACGTAACTCACCCACTAGAGAAGACTTGGAGACTTTTGACGACTTGAACTTACGACGCTTTTGTCCTGAACGCACTTCACTGTTGTTGTCATTATTATTGTTGTTGTCCGTAGGAATGATTGACAAGTCATCTAGAATAAGAGAATTACGGAAGGCCGAGAAATCCGGAGGTGAGACAGATCCATCATCATCTACGGCTCGTGTACACGCCAGCATCGCTTACGCATCGGTGGGGGACTGGTGTTTACTTGCTGATGATGATGATGACGATGGCGACGATTTAATGACAGCCGATGTGGTGAACTCGTATGATGACGATGCAATGAAGCGGAATCAGCCTTCCATATCTGGATTGTCAATTCGGAACATTCTGTAAGACCACTGAAAAAGAAGAGGCAATTAAAACAAGTGGATGAACCAATAAGGGTAGCGAAAACTGAAATAATTAAAGTACAACGCACTCCCATTAGCTATTGATAATAACTGTGACGCTCCTGGAGGTAATAGCGCACGTTTAGTCCTCTTCATTCGGATAACCGGCTTTCCGACAATTCTGATGACTATGGTTATCACCGCAACGCTTGATCGACAGCATACATTTAAGCTGTACTATCAAGACTCAGGTGCTCGTATAAGTAACGGTGGAGCTAAGCTGTACGACAGTGAACCTCGTGGTCCCTTCTGATAGCCAGATATAAACTTGAGAACCAGCTGACTGGTAAATCTTTCCACCCAGTGGTGGGATTTTGGTGTGGAGAAACCTTCGGACCGAAGGCGAGTCTTGTGGTGCTTTGCTATCTGATATTCCATGGGCCACAAAATAGTGTGAGTTGCGTGCGAGGTGTGATGTAGGCAGTAGGTTATATGCCTGCTGTCTACCTCAAGTGACATGCTATTTGGACCAAGTTGTCTGCAGTGCTTTCTCACTGCTCTGGCAAATGTTGCAGGTCAGTGACGAGGTGCACCCTTGTGACTGCACCAGTTGTCACCATCGAACACTCAAAGCGACGAAGTTGGCTGGGAAATGGGTATTCGGAAGCAGTCGCCGATCGGTTCCTGAACTTGGTCAATTGTCATTAAGATCTGAAATACCTGGGTGCTGCCGCTTAACGGTGGTGGGAGTGGTGTGAAATACGGCTGGCCTCGGTGGAGATAACCCAGATCAGGGACTCGCTCCCATCCCTGATTAGGTGGTAATGGTAGATAACCGGAAATTGGGACTCTTCTCCGTTAGTGGGAGTGTATAACTTGTTGTAAACACTGTTTTCATGCATATACGTCTAATCTAAAGCCGGTTTTATGGTTATTGACGTTGGAGCGACCCAGAAAACTGGGAAATGTGAGTAAATACTCGGTTACCCAGATTCTTTTTCAAAAACTAGTCACGCGCACTGTGAACTTGGGCTTTCGCAGCACAGCATAAGATATTGTAAGTGACCATCTTGGAAGCAACTTCTACGCCTGCTGGCTCCCTGTTCTTGTACGCTGGGACAGGAATGCTCCCTATGTTATGGATTAGTAGGTAAAAGCACTCAGTAGCAAGTGAAAACGAAGGTCTCCAAAGAGATGCTTTGTCAATGCTGGTTACATAAGGAGATTGGTCCACATGGGATGACAGTCTGTACAGGCTACTGACAAAAAAACTCATCACTAATTTAACTCAGTGAAATGTATGATAGGCGAGGTATGTGTGCAGAAGACTGATGACGCACTCTTCCAGTCGCACAGAAATTAACCTTAAGTATGAGGATCCCATCCAATAAATCCCAAAGAAATTCCTGCAGTAAAGTTGCACTCTGCAGGGGGGTATGGGGTAGTGTGCATAGCATTTGCATACATGTGTGACCTCGAGAAGGTGAATTTCAATCAGCTTATCTCAACACTCAGTGAATGTGAAAACATCAAAACTGGCACAATGTGAAGGGTTGAACTGCTATGACAACACATTGGTGGGCGTGTCGACTTTCATTCTTCTCAGATTTATGTTGCCGTGGATATTTTCAACTCACTAAGAAGATCAGCTCATCCCGCTTTTTTTAACCGTTCAATCACAATGGCGGTCGCTACACTCCAGGCCAAAGTAATCTGCCAACCCCCAAAAGTTTAAGAGAAAATTACTCAGTATTTTTTTACCAAAGCGGATCACCTCCAACTGTGGCGCTTCCACGAGGGGGGTGGAACTGTTGAAATAATTACTCAGAAAACTGGCAAGATCCAATTAAATAATCTGTAGAGTTCACTCTTCACACTGGTAGATTAACCAAGTGACTAAAATCAGTCCATACAAAAAAATCAATCGGATACATAAAGACAACCAATCAGAATGAAGGTCACACGAGCCGAAAGTGGTTAGACATAAGAAAGTATCAATCTGAACGTTTCGTTGTGTATGCCGCAGCTTCTTCAGGAGAATATGTGACAAAAGTGAATGGCGGGTGCGTGGGTAATGGGATTGCATTGCAGAATTAAAGCTTATTAAGAGGCCAAAAGATGGATACAACGAAGACACACAAGCGGAGCACGTTCAGCACAGTCATTCCTTTCTCTACCGAACGATTTCCAAAATGCCCATCATGAACAAGAAGGGGGAATCAGTCATTACATTAATTTGCAGCAACTGCTTCCCTTTATAAACTTCGATAGAACAGTAAGAAGACGCATTACATAAATAAAAAGCCTACACAAAGTGTATTTGGTGAAGACACTAAAAAGTAGAACAGATAGTTTAGGCATATGATGACGTGATATAACTGTTGTGTAGACAACGAAATCCCTTCAACAAACTGTTATGTCAAAGACGCCTCTAAGTGACAAAATGAGTCTGGTTTATATGAAAATCACGAATCATTAAACCAAACCAGAACAATACCAACCGAAACCCCGACTCAGAGAACGGACAGAGACAGACGGAAGAAATCAACATAAGACACCTAGCATTAGTGCGTAACGTTCTGTGTCACCATACATCATATCAGCACATCAAACTACAATCCAACAAGATGTAAAAAAGTAAGAAAAAGAGATCTACTGCGAGGTCATGCTTGCGTAGTGCTGAAGAATCCCATGCTGGGACGAAATAGATTAGATGAAGACTATCCTGAAGGTAAGCAACTGGACTTTTAATCGGCATTACAAGGTTTCTTGCCACCTTGTAGGTCAGTCAGTGGACTTCAAATCCTGCTAATTGCTTCGAGAAGTTTCGTTTGAGGAGTTTGTGGGGATGGATTGATTGATTTCACGCACTAACTGACAGTTGGGGAACCACTGGCTGGAATGGACAACTGTTTCGTCCTAGTATGCGGCACATTAGCAACACGAACCGATGACCTCGTCCCACAGGGCTCGAACCAGGGACTTTCAAATCTCAAAGCGAGCACACTTGGTCGGAAACTAATGATTTGCTTTTCCCTTCTTCTGTCAATTCACAATCCAGTATAACCATCAGCCAGTGCCATCCGCTTCATTTCCAAACTTCAGGAAATCTCATCTTGGAGCATGTCGTCAATGTAATTTTCTCAATATTAAAACATCAAGACTCACCTTAGGTCGAATTCTTCACCCCAGAACAGCATATCAGTCATTTGCTTGACTGTTGTCCGTGCACAGATGGTACCATTCACATGAATTGTACAATAATACCTTAACAATAAAATTATTGCACAGAAACAGATTTTTATATCACAAAAAAATGCATCGAAAACATAGGCAGAAACAGAAATCCTTACATGGTGATGATAGGGGCAGTAAACTTACTAGTAGTGTTTAAATATTATTTGTGTACACCTCGCTTACCACGTGATTGGATTTTAGTCGAAACCGTGAGCGTTTGTAGACAATAATCTCTACGTGAATCTCCACATGAGAAAGTATTGAGGCATCTTGTTCAGGGAGCCTGTATACCAAAAGTAATCGATCAGTTAGATCCAGTATACAAACCAATAGGAAACTATTGGCATTAACACGGAACAGATGACATCCGGTTTCGTGACTCGATATTAGAAAACTTTTTGGAGTCTAGGTTCGAATCTCGATGGGGGCATCCAGTTGAGTGGGCTTCAAATAGGAAGAAAGAGTTAGACATCAAACAAAACAAATAAAATCATTCGATACCTCTTCATAGCTGCCAGTTAAAGGGTTACATCTGACCAGGTGCATAATTCTTACAATCGCAGCGCCAATAGCCCACTGATAATTCTACTGCGCTGTCTTACGCTGGTTTGAATATCTCCAAAGGTATACCAGTTCCCTCGAGGTTGCCCCGCTGATGAAATCCAACATGGACAAAGCCTGAGTGACGCAGGGCTTCCTACCGAATACCTCAATCCAACTAACGTATCCTTTATATAGTACAGGAAAACCGATATTTTCAAAATATCATTTAAATGACCAAATTTATATGAACCAAATCAACCTATACCCTGACTTGTACATATGCAGTTGTGACTCATCAGTTTAGGAGTTAAATTTCAACCAATGGGTTGTGAGTTCAAACTCAGTTGCACCTACCGAGGTTTGAGCAGCCAACTAGGTAGAAGTAGGGGATTTTGATCATAAAAACGTACATCAGGAAAACTGCCTCAACCAACAAAATGATTCAATTCATCACACATCAAAGATGTCTCGGAGATCGTCCTCCAATTACCTCACACATTCGCTACCAGTGTTAGGGCACACATTAACCAAATCCTTGGAGAATACACTATCCAAGAGAACTGGGGTTGACTACCCAAACAAAACAAGACCAATACAACCGATAAACTTAGCTGTAAGGACTGTCAATGTTACCATTTTGGTCAATCCAGTCACTGAATAGGCCAAAGAATTAATGAGCACCAACCAGCAGTTGAACAACATGACATGTCTTTGTTGATATCGATGCATGTCAAAGAGCGTGAACATAGCCTCGATTGAGACAATGTGTAAGTGCTGGTTACAACAAGTCAGCTCATAAACTGTGCCAGAATTTGTGGAAGCCTCGTTGGTCAATCAAATGGCAGTCAACAGACACACAGATCGTGGCCCAATACACGAACTACTGGAAATCAATAACCAGACATTGGGTTAACTAACAACAAAAGGCATAGAGGCCAACTGGTGATAAGAAAGAGAGATAGGTCACACCACCAACAAGCCAATATTCCTCAAAATCGACATATATCCTTCTTGAACATTCGTACAACTTCGGAATGCTTCAATTCCTTCATGAAATAACTACTGATGACTCATCGTTAAAGAGCAAGCCTTTTAGTTCAGAGAATACCAAAAAACAATCATCATACTGTTGGTCTGAGACAAGCAGGGGAGAATTTAGACTTCCTATTCGAGGTGCGCTATGACAACAGAAACCAGTGATTGGTGGAGAGTCAGTGATGCAGATACTGTATCACCACATATTATTTTCGTTCTTGATCGTCATTCTGAACTCCAGTTTTGTGTGACTCCTGCCTACTGTCTTTTCATCCTTCGTGGCCAGCAATATGATCACTTCCAGTCACAAGTGAACAACACTCAAGGTCGATAAATGTCCTTCGTAAATATTCATACAACTTCGGAATGCTTCACTTCCTTCATGAAGTAACCGCTAATGATGTAACGTCAAAGAAGAAATCTCACATCACGGAGAACACCAGAAACAATTTTTATTGTTTTTTCCTGCATAACTCACCTGTTTTTTCCACTTAATCCCTTTGCTTCTTGTATCCAAATAGTCAGGCAGTTCTCCTTACGGCGCTGAGCATCTTGTGCTGGATTGACAAGTCGTTTCAGGCTGTAAAGAAGAGAAATATGTGTACACTCTTTAAATTGGGAATTCACTGCAAAACTGAAAGCTACTTTGAGAATTAATCAACAGAATTTAACTGATCATTTCCCGTCGTTGATTGGATCCAGTTGATAGGTCTCTGTTGGCTTATGAGTTCGTGGGTCTCGATGTTGCCTGCATTTTCAGTTCAGTAGTAGTGATGGAAACTATCTGGCAGTAGAATCCATGGTGCAAGTGTTTCATTTTACTTTGGACTCACTCGTCAGCTGGATTTACTTCCCTACCATTGAGGAGTGATGTTGTTCCCACTTAGACTCGAACCCAGGACCAGTCGCTTCAAACGCCAAAGCGTTATCCACTAGGCTACTGATTCCTAACAGTCATTGCTTTGGCAACTTAATTCATAGCCACACTTCATAATCAATGGTTTCACGCTGACCTCAACTTGGAAGTCTGCATTTCTCTACATGACTCAGATCAACATTACTCCGCAGTGTTTAAGTGGCAAAACTCCAGTCCCACAGTATACACTGTTCAATCGGTACATTTTCCTTCTAGAAATCGTAGTGAACATTTGTAGCTCATGGTGTGGATGTTCACAGTCAAACACTCTGCCATCACTGCATCAGAGTTCCACAAAGCAATGACTCATCGAGTATTGATATTGATAAGGTGCTACTATGCTTGAATGTAATCTGATTGGTCGGTTGGTGAGTTTATGGACATGCTGAGAAAACCAGAAGCAATAAGCAAACCAGTCAAGTTTAAGACATACCCAGACACACCAATCAACCAATCAGGTTGTGATTAAACCAAGTAACATGTCGTAAATATTCATACACAACCAATGACTTCATTTTCTTGTGAAGTTCTGATACATTGAGGTCGGTGTGTCTAACGTGACACTGAAACGTTTGCCAACTGAAATCCCAGCTGTTCAAAGAACAAGACGGTCTGAACATTGTTTTTTCCGCTTTGCTAAACAACTAACCTGAAATGAGTCCTGTAGCATATCAACTGTGTACCAAAATGCCTTAATTTAACATCAGAGGTCAATGAAACAATCTGATAATTTTTGACTTTCAATTTAGTCACCACCATCAGCAGTAACATCTCTACCCGTTGAGTAACCTTAATCAGAACAATTTGATTATGAGGTAATTGTGATATTATGCGCAAATGGAAGGTCACACAGCAAACGTGTATATATACGTGTCAGCACAACATTCTTTTTCGTAAAGGTGAATACATATGATTTTAGATGGTGCACAATTTTAAATTCAGTGATCAGTTGTGTTGAACAACAATTGTTACAAACATTAACTTACTGATCCATCAACCTTTGATTAAATTTACGAGGGAAAGGACCATTCATGCTTCAGATAATCTGTAGGTAATGTCTGCAATCTATGATTCTTTAGTGAAACTGCCACCTGATGGTTTTAGGTATTACTTTGAGCAGCAGCAACAGTAACTTTTGCCCCTACACACAAAGATGGTGTTTTTTTCCACCATTTAGTATCATAATTCAACACACACGTACACGCACGTGAAGGAAACGTCTTACAGACAGCTGCAGACACTTACGCGGTTGCAAAGGGTTATTATAATAATTTTTTTAAAGTAAACCAGGTGGAATTATCTACTGAATACAATACACCTTAAGAGAAATTTATCTGCCTCACAGAACGTTACTTTTTGAAGTCATAGCATTTAAGCCTGCACTGCTGACACAAAAGTGTGAGGAACTACCCAAATATACTACTAATGGGCAAAATGAGTAGTAGCTAGAAACCACTCAATCTGCTGATCTGTAGATTTTGCCAGACAGCCAGCCAGATCAGAGTGATCTAAGCATCAGAGGACCATTTCGGTCGCTTGAGGTTGATCTCATTGCCAGTGGTGCATACCTGAACAAATTTAACTCACAGAGAGAGAGAGAGCTGCATTCGTTCAGACCACCTGAATCTGGTCAGCCGGCTGACTTAGATGAACTGTCATAGGATGATCAAATCTCAAATGATTTAAAAATTAGTCCGAACATATGAGCTGAATTTGTCCGCTGATGATCTGAGCCCAATCTAGCGAAACGGCCATCCGGTGTTTATATCAATCTGTTCTGATTGGCTAAATGGCAAAATGCTACGGATCACCTGCTTCAGTGATCTCTAACTATTCAAGACGTTCAATAACAGTATCTTTCACTAGTCCATGACAGTTTTGTGGCAGAAACGGAAAACCTGTTGACATTACAGTTAGTTGGCCAGTCGAGAAAATTACTCAGCTGTGAGAAATGTATCAACATGAACTGTGCACAGTTTGTAAAAACATTTGGAAATCGATCATCCTATTCAAGTTATACCGATCGGTGTAAGTCAATCAGCTGGCTAGATTCAGATAATGTGAAGTGAACAGTTTGGCTAACCTACCGCTGGCGATGACCTCGACCCCAGACGTACGAAATGGCCGTCGAGTTTTTAAAAAGATTACTTTCATCTGGCTGGCTAGCGAAATCTGCAGATTGGCCTTCTTACTACTCATTCACTTTTTTAGTAGTATGTAATGAAGAACTCAAACTCCGCTGTACACTTGGTTACAAGTCAACAAATCATCTTGTCCATTAATGAAGACTTGACAAACCACTGTTTTTATAGCAAAACAAAAGATGACAGGCATGTCAGTTAGACAGACAAGCGAAACTCCACACAACCACCGAATGGTGGCTACCTATGAGCTGACATCAAATACCAGACACCAGTCGATCATCTTGTCTACTGGCTGAGTTGCCATGCCCCTATCTTTCTCACACACACATACACAGAAGTTTTCTTCTTTTCTCTCTAGACTCACTTTCCAAAGAGGCGCGCAGGGATGATACGGGTGGGTCAAAGCAACTAAAGACAAATAAACTTTATTATAAAACACAATAAATACCAAGTGAGAACCTGACAAAGGTAAATACTTTGCTTGAATATGCATACTTAAATTTCATGACTGGAATTGTGACTGTGACCAGTTCCTCAAGTGAAACTAGCAGGAATTCGGACGCACTGAACACCTCAGCTGTCTAGGATGAATCAGCGTAGGCACAGCGTTGTTGAGTTCGGTATCGGAGGCGTGAAGTGGCCATCCGTTGTCTAGATTCCCATGGCGTAACCATCGAACAATACTTTTTTTGCATGACCACTCTTAAACTACTTATATCATTTAGTCAGTAATATGTTTCGTACACGCTTCATGATTACATGCGATATAGTATTTATTATTGAATTATCCAAGAAACAAATAACGACAATACTGTTCACAGATATACTATCAACATAGATCTCCTGAAGATCTAACAGGGTGTTGTGCGAACAGTGAAGTGGATGACTAATGAGCATCTTGAATCACGGTTGCGTCACACAGCCCAGAGCCTGTCCACTGGATTTCAATTAAGTGGATGAAAAGAGACACTCAAAATTAGGCGTCCACTCTATTTCTCACGAATTTGTGGGTCCATATCGCTGAAGAGTCCTGTGGCGGGACAAAACACCTATTCAAGACTTCTAGAATTCGAGGGGTTCTGCAGCTTATGTCAGTCTGAGATTAAAAACCACATTTAAATTTATTTAAACTTGTAACAGATAGACAGAGACAGAAGAACTTGGTATGGGGACGGGTATGAATGCTCATTACCAAGTACAAACAGTAACGCCTATCATATTGCTGGCTACGAAGGATGAAAAGACAGTAGGCAGGAGTCACACAAAACTGGAGTTCAGAATGACGATCAAGAACGAAAATAATATGTGGTGATACAGTATCTGCATCACTGACTCTCCACCAATCACTGGTTTCTGTTGTCATAGCGCACCTCGAATAGGAAGTCTAAATTCTCCCCTGCTTGTCTCAGACCAACAGTATGATGATTGTTTTTTGGTATTCTCTGAACTAAAAGGCTTGCTCTTTAACGATGAGTCATCAGTAGTTATTTCATGAAGGAATTGAAGCATTCCGAAGTTGTACGAATGTTCAAGAAGGATATATGTCGATTTTGAGGAATATTGGCTTGTTGGTGGTGTGACCTATCTCTCTTTCTTATCACCAGTTGGCCTCTATGCCTTTTGTTGTTAGTTAACCCAATGTCTGGTTATTGATTTCCAGTAGTTCGTGTATTGGGCCACGATCTGTGTGTCTGTTGACTGCCATTTGATTGACCAACGAGGCTTCCACAAATTCTGGCACAGTTTATGAGCTGACTTGTTGTAACCAGCACTTACACATTGTCTCAATCGAGGCTATGTTCACGCTCTTCGACATGCATCGATATCAACAAAGACATGTCATGTTGTTCAACTGCTGGTTGGTGCTCATTAATTCTTTGGCCTATTCAGTGACTGGATTGACCAAAATGGTAACATTGACAGTCCTTACAGCTAAGTTTATCGGTTGTATTGGTCTTGTTTTGTTTGGGTAGTCAACCCCAGTTCTCTTGGATAGTGTATTCTCCAAGGATTTGGTTAATGTGTGCCCTAACACTGGTAGCGAATGTGTGAGGTAATTGGAGGACGATCTCCGAGACATCTTTGATGTGTGATGAATTGAATCATTTTGTTGGTTGAGGCAGTTTTCAAACAACCTGTGAGATTTGAATCTACCTGCTTACAGCCTGTAGATGAGATAGAACCTGGCAAGGTGAGACGTCCCTCTTGATTTGACAACTCATATACCTGAAGATCTCACTATGACAGTTGACCTTGGATCTATGTTTCGTTCAAAGTGAGACTCGTCAGTCGGGAAGGTATGTCGGAAGCCTAGAATGAGCCGATTTCCTTTGTGACTTTGGCTTTGTTGGTCTCAATCACACAAGAGACATCAGTTCCCTCGGGAGGTTGCAGATAAACCTTCTAGAGTGATGAGTCTCAGTAAGGGCGAAACCTGGTCCCAAGACCAACTGTTTAATTCTAACCGATCCAATATCCGATCGGGAGTAAGCAATTGTTAAAAGACTCTGAAGTTGGATATCTCATAGGTTTATCATCATTGAATTCGTAAAGAACGCTAGATCAATGAGAACTCCACAACCACCACATCCAAATAGAATGAAACACGGGCCCACTCCAAGCCACTATCGCCAAGAAACTAACATCTAAACAAAACTGGAGGCAATATTGGGGCACCCGTTCAGGTGCCAAAACTCAACGATCAATTCGGTCCCGTCTACTTTACCAACATGAAACTGGAATCACCAATGGACTCAACATTCTAAACAGTTGTAAAACGACACAGACGTAGGTAGAGATGGATTGTTGCGAGCCATCTAATGTTGGCCTCGGTTGCCTAGCAAATTTCAATCTCACATGTCACACAGCTTAGGCGAACAGGTGGAGGTTCTATGGATTGGTTCTGTTTATCTCAATGTGCGTGATTCAAACACACGGAGATCCAGTATGCGTTGTATCCCAGCCTCTGAATCGATGGTAGACAATAATCTCACAGCAGTGCATAAGTCGGTTGAAGGCACCGTATTTGAACCTATGACAAGGTATCAACTCATTTTTGTACGCCAAATGGTGTCTACCAAGGATGTTCACTCTCTTCATTCTTATTCAACTTCATGATCTGAATTCACTGGGATTCTTCATGTCAAAGGAGAATCCGTAGTAGTTCTCGAGTAGGTAGATGACATAGTCCTGTTAGGTGAAGAAGCTGACAAGATCCAGAGTCTTCTGGACATTTTGAGTGACAGTTTTCACTACCAAAGTGCAAACTGTCGCTTCTCAACTGGTCTTCGCTGGTGCCTTGTTTAACATGATTTCCTGCCTGTCTATCTTTCCGTCCGTCCGTCCGTCCGTCTGTCTGTCTGTTCGTTCGTTAACCTGCCTGCCTGTATATACCACAGACAGGCAGATAGAAGGGACTGCATAACCACTGAGCATCTTGGACAAATACCCTCAGCACCGTCAATCCCTTATGGTGAGACAGTCAGAAGACGGAGAGACACAGGGAGAACTATACTATATTGCAGAAAAGTTAATTATTGTCAGGTGAATGGGGGTCATCGCCAAGAAACCGTGCTCCACCTAGGTTTAGTCCATGTTGCCACTCACTAGACCAAGACATGTCTGCAGTGTCGAGGAAACCGTTAC